ATAATAAATCTAATAATAAGTTCATTATTTAATTCTAAATTATATTTAATAAATTGACAAATACTTAACACTATCATGTATCAAAAAAAAATTATCTGATAAACTATATTAATTTTAATTTGGATTACTATTTGGTGAATAAATCATATGAAATAAAATTAATAAATAATAAGAATAAATTTGAAGAATATTAATTTTTATAGTAATCATTAGACAATTTATTTAAATAATTTGATAGTATTTATTATTTTCATTCTAGATGGTTAATATATAATAAAATTAATTTAATCAATATATTTATGTTATTTATATTAAATTATAATTTATGGGTTGTTCTATGGTTTTTATTTAAAAGGCTTCTTTTGATTCAAATTCATCGTTTTCATATGATGATATATAAGAGAGTGAAGTATCTTTAGATTAAATTCATGATGGAATAGCATTTTTAAAAATAAATGTAAAAAAATAAAAAGAGATTTTTCCTGAAGACAATAACACTGAAGTAAAACATTTAGTTAATTGCAATCATCATGCAGTAATATAAATCAATAAATCTGATATTAAATCTAAGAAATCTTGTTTAAAACAAAAATTAATAACGTCACAACTTTCATAAAATGTTAGTCCTAAGATAGTTCATTTTGTTTAAATTTAATAACAAAATACAAATTAGTATAAGAGGAGACAGAAGAAAAGTAAATAGAAACATTCAAGAAAGTCTAAAGAAAGATAAGAGCATATTAACTTGGATGATATATTTTGATCTTAATTATTGTTATATTTATATACTTAGTACATTTTTTAAATATATATATTTCATAACAATTAGTAAAGTTTATCAATTTGAACTTCGAAAGAGTTATCTTCATTAAGTAATGAGGGTAATACATGATTTTTTTATTCTTGATCTATTAAGTTTGTGATTGTTACAACTTATATTCTTTCTTCATCTATTTTTGATATTTCAACATAGGAAACTTTTTTACCTAAGATATTTAATAAATGAATACATAATAATTCATTTTTCTTTAAATATGACATGTATTCTTTTGAACAATCTTTTACAAATTCAACTGTAAAAGATATTTTGATTTCACTTTTTTCTTTAATAGAAAACTTACTAAAAAATACAAATGTTTAGAATGATGATTTAATACTCCAAATTGAAGTCTCTAATGCTATAAAATTATTATCATCTATTGTCTCAAAAATTTCAAATTTCTTAAATGAATTTCTCCATTATTTCTATTCAGTAAATAATTTATAAACTTTTTCTATTGAATTACATTTCAGTATATAAGAATTCTTTATAATCTATCCTTACAAATGAAGTAAACTACAATTTCTATACTCTAAATCAAATAGTTATTATCATTTACATTTCACTAATTTCCAATCATAATTTAAATTCAATATTTTTATTAAAAATTCTGAAGTATTATCATCTTCTATAAGTATCATATCTTTTGAAGAGAATTTCCTTATTGTTTCTTATGTAGTTGCTGGAGTGATACTTTCATCAGAAGAATCCAATGTCTTAGTACTATCTAGTGTTTATTTTTAAGATTTAAAGTTTTAATAAATTCCCAATACTTCTTCATCTTCAATTAAAAATTTAAGAATTTTTTAATCTAATAAAGGATTTCCTTCTAAATAACGATAAAGTAAGAGTAGAGCATTTTTATAACACTTGTTCTATTGGTTACCTTTGATATGATTTTAGAGTTTCATTTATTTAATTTATTTCATATTTAATTCACAAAAAGCTTTTAAAGTGACTTCAGCAACTTCAATTAGATATTTATTAAATTACATGGATTGTACTCGAATTCTAACAATTTACTTAAGAAAGAAAGTACACAATTACATTGTATATGAGAATCTGAATCATTTAAAACCATTTGAGTCAAACCATAGATTTCTTTATCTTTATCTCCTATAAATAAGTATTGTATGATATTGTATGACAAATATTATAGTTTTCCATACAAATAATTTTCAAGTTAGCTAATGTAATAGAATTAAATAGGGATACAGTATAATTTTAACTCTGTCTTCTTTTCGACTATTAAGTTTATGTAAATAACAAATAACAGCTTTTTCTATATCATTTTATGGTTAATGTTTCTAAAATTCAGGTTCTAATAGAGAATCCAAATTAAATTGATCACTACTTAAACCATGTAATTTAATATTATCAAATCCTCTTCTCATAAATTGTTGTTATATTTCAATGAACTATAAAAATTCAATTGGTTTTAATTGATCTAGGGAAGATAGTATAGTTTATAAAAATTCTTAAATTTTAGTCATTGTTTTTTTACTTTATAATAATTTTCTTCTTTCTTGAACAACTTCACTTTTATTGGATTTAAACAATTTTTTTTAGGGAAATTCACAAAATTCAAATTTGGGTTTTAACTAAAATAGATAAATTTAATACTTATTCATAGAGCTAAAGAAATTACTTATACCTTCTTTAAATTTAGTAGTCGAAGTAGTCTGTGGTGATTTTGATAACATAATGGACTATATGTTTTTTATGGAGAGAGAAATTGTCTTTTTCTTTAGAGATGGAAACTATTTCAATATTCTTTATAACTTGATGGGTAAAAATCAACTGAGTTACACTCTTTTCAATTTTATAATAATAATTTTTTACCTCATCCTAGAGTTGAACTGAATGAACTCTCTTTAATTATAGAGGAGAAGTCTTCTATTAAGGATATTGATCTTAAAATGAATATTATCGTTTAGGCAGCATAATAATTAGAATTACAATTAATATCTAAAAATATTCAATCTAATTGGTATTATATATACTACTATTAAATGATTATATAATAATATGCAATTTAATTTATGCATATTATTATAAAATAACCATTCAATTTGTAGATTTGATTAGTCTTAACTATGTATTTAGACTTGTAATGATTCTTAAATCAGTTTGATTAAATTCATTTGACTCTAAGTATAACGGTATGATTAATTTTAATTACAAATTGTGATGTTGCATTTCAATATATTTTAATAATAAATTGATGTTTTTTGCCTAGAAAGATATACTTAAATGTTTTAAGTGTAATTCGTCATCTTGCACTATTTAAAACATAAATCAATCTTCTAATTTATGTAATATTTTAAAAAAAAAAAATGCTAACAACTGAGGTTAGTGCTACTTCTAACCAGAAACAAATAAAAGATCCATAAGAACTTGTTTTTGAGGTTTGTTTTTTATTTAATTATTTATCAAAGTTTACTCATCAATGGACAGACCATGATGAAGAATAACTAAAACAATTGTACCTTCTACACTAAGGCAATTGGAAATCTATAAGCTTACAAATGAATGGGCCAAGTCCTTAAGAATGTATGATGAAATGGCAAAGACTACATCCTAATCAAGTATATTGGATATCTTAATTTAAGACTTTTACAAGACAATTATGGTCACCAGAAGAAGACAAATAATTACAGGAGCTTGTTTAAAAGTATGGAAAAAAATGGAGTAAGATATGCACAGTGATGAATTGGAGAACTGGAAAACAAGTAAGAGAACGGTATCTAAACCAATTACAAGGTCATATTAATAGTGAGAAATGGACAGAATAGGAAGACAGAATGATTTTAAAATTGTACAAAAAGTATGGGACGAAATGGAGTTACATATCTAGTTTCCTTAATGGCAGACCTGTATAAATGATTAGTTATTATTTTAACTTAGGAAAATATGGTAAAAAATCGATTTTATGCCAATTTGAAAAGACGATTCCAATCTGATCTAGAAATTTCTGAAGATGATCAATGTTAAGACTCATAAGATTCTTTGAATATAACCAAATATAAGAAGAAGAAAAAGTTTAAACCATATAGATTTATAAGTGATTCTATTTAGATTAAGAAATCTTAACTCTAAAATGTTAGATCTGAAATTTTTAAAAGAATTACAAGGTCTAAGAATAAAGATCATTTATAAGATTAAATTAAAGAAGAAGAAAATATTTATGATTCTATTAATTAAAACTAAGAACCTATTAATTCTATTCAAAATTAAGAAATTATTCATAAATAGGAACAAGATAATTAATAGATTTCATAATAAAAAGTAAATGTAAAAGAGGAAATGGTATCTAATAATAATTAAATATCATTTAATCCTCTTATGTTATTCGAATATTAATAAACATTTTAAGCTCTATAATAAGTTGATTAAAGAACAATAGAGCTTGGATTATATTAATAATAATAATAATTATTATTATATTGTTATCCAAAACAAAATGACACTCAATTCAATTTCTAATTGTGTTAGAAATGTAGTAAATGTGAGAATACAATTGATTAAAACCAATTGTATTCTTTTTAAGATATTAATCAATTATTCAAATTGTTTTAGTATCATTTGTTTATGCAAAATCAACCTTTGCTAAATTAAAAAAGTGAAGTTGATATGTCATAAATTGGGAATCAATAACCATAGCAATATAACAGCCATATATTGCAGTGACATTTCATTATTGGAACATAAGGACCAATGAAAATGTTAAACATTATATCATCCATTACAAAATATCAAAATTCATCAAAATTTTATTAATCTTCAAAATCTTCTAAAACATTTCTATATATCATTTTATAATATTTAATAATATACTTTCAATAATTCACTAATTATAAAATAAACATCTCTTAATTAAATTATATTAATTCTTAAGCAATTTTATGAATAAATAAGAATTTTTAAGTTATTTGTAATAATTTCATAATTTATATTAATTAATTAAAATTTCCAATTTGCTTCAAATATTATATTTTTGTAATATGCATCCTTAATTGTATCTATAGAATCATTCTAGTTAATCAACTTATCTTTCTAAATAAAATTGAATAAGATCTAATACGATTCCTTAAATTTCATTTATTTGATATATGATGATGAATAATCAATTGAATAGTAAATGTTATATTCTTAATATAAAAATGATTTAAAAATATACTCAAATGATTATCTGAGTTGATATTTGGTGTTCAGTTTTGGAATTTACAAATTCACCAGCAATTTTTGTGATTATTCGAAATCTAATAATTTCTTTAGTTATGGTTCTATACATGCATCTTTTTGTTGAATCATTGATTTATTCATTTTTGATCATATTATTTCTATGGTAAAGGAAAATGGATTTTGCAGCTGCATATTTGATATTCAATTTTTATGCAGCCTAAAAATAGAATATATATATACATGTTTTATTTTGAAGCCTTTAAGACATATTAAATAAACTAGAGTTTACTTGACTTCAGAAGACATCTTATGATATGAGATTTTAAGTTATTTGGTACCTTATTTCATAAATTATAATAAATCTTCTTTAAAGATGTGAATCAAATATAATTATTTCTGTATAATTAGATTTCATAATAATGATTTGTTTTATTAAAATATTGAAATTCTTTATTTTTTATTGAAATGAGTAAAACAGAAATTTATTTCAAATATTATTAGTTACATAATTAATGTAATAAAAGTAAAGACCAAAGTAATTGGACCCTATCAAACGTGTAAAGGATACAGATCCTGTTGATTCAGGAAGTCCATTGTAGTTTTTTAATTAAATTTTGTAACCAAAAGAATCAGAATATAAAAGAAAGCATCATAAGAAAGAAAGAACTTAAATATCAAAAAAGTTGGAATACGATATCTAGGAGGCTCTAAAATAAACAGATTACGATGAAAGTTGATTTTGTAAAATAAATATAGGAAACATTTTACATAGAGCTTGTCTTGATTAACAAATCAAACAAATTAAAGATATAATTGAAGATTTAGTAGCAAAGAAAGATGATGTTGCTCTATAGGAATGCCTAGTAAAGTAAGATAAATTTCATTGTTAACCATTGTTACTATGTTGTATTAAGCCAAAAACTTTGGAATCTGATTAGATTAGAATGTTATGCATTTAATTATTATTGAATCCATGTAAAGAGAAACCACACATAAAAGCAGATGTAAATTGTTACAATCCAAGAACATAATGGACTTGTTTACATTGGGCAGCATATTATGGAGATAAGGAAAGTGTAGAAGTATTACTTGAAAATAACATTCATGTTTTCTTGCCAGATTATAAAGGATAATATGCAGTAGATTTAGCAGGTAAAAATAAGTACGAAGAAGTTGTAACTTTAATAATAATGAGGAGTATTGAAATATTGGATTATTTAAAATATGGAAGTTAATAAAAATATAAAGCATATTTTGAGAGTCTTACTCCTGAACTTCTAAAACATTTAAATAATCCATTATTTCTATGTAAATTAATTTATTGGTCAGCATTATATGAAGTAGATAGTAAGAATTCAACTTTATTGTAATATAAAAGAGCATATTCCTTTTTCCCATTGTAAATATAATTATATTAATATATTTAGTAAATCTTTGAAAATGAAAACAGCCTTACATGCAGCATGTTAGAGTCATAAAGGCAATGAAGAATTTTTAAGTGAAGCATTTCATGTTTTTGAAGAGACTTTATTTGGATTCAATAATGATGATTTAACTAAGATAATTCCTCAAAAGAAACCTACACTTTAAATTAATACAGTATTTGTATTTTCTGAGGATGATATTAAGAAATATAGAGATGAATTTAAAAAGGAAGTATTGTAATTAGCAGAATGGGAAAAAGAAGTTTTGAATAAAATAAAAATAATCAAGAATTATACTTAATAAAAGTAAAGATAGAAATATTTTAATGATTTTTATGCAATATATGTGAATTAATAGGATGCTTATGGTAATTCACCTTTACATGTTGCATCAATAAAAGCATTTTAAAAGGGAATTAATATATTATTGGAAAAATAAGCAAATATGGAATTAGAGAATAATGAAGTATTTAAAGCAAGAGAATTAACATAAGATGAAAATGTGTTAGAATTGTACAAAGAGAAATTGTAAAGTATAACTAGTGAAACTATTTTAAATGAACTCAATTAAACTATAATTTAATAATTAATGGGAATATTTAAGAAAGATGCTTATGATGATTAATTACGTTTGCGAAATGCTTTAGCTCCTTGTAATTCTTAATTATATTCTTAGTGTCTAAAAATGGAGATACATAATATTATAAATTAATCACAGAACTTAATTAATTTTCATAGAATCTATTTGTACCTGATTTTATTATTCGTGCTAGCATTAAGCCTGAGAATCTCAATTAAGATACTTTAGAGACAGCACCTGCTTTTTTTGATTTAAAAGATTAAGATTGTGCTGAATTGATAAGATTAAACTTTTACATATCATTGTTATTGAATGCTAATTTTGAAGTATATTTAATGAAATCATAATTCCAATAAGGATTTTATTATATAATGTTATAACATAATGAAAAGAATTTAGAGAATTAAGCAGATTTAATGAATTTATAAATGAAATTAATGGATTCTTATGATTTGGAAGAATTTGAGAAAGTATTTTAAAATTTATATGAACCTTTTCGATCTAGATAGAAATAATAAATTATAGAGAAACATTTAACATAAATTAAAGATTTAAATGAATAGATAAATTCTGGTATTATATAAACATATTATCGAATGCATAAGACAGGAGGAATCAATAAAATTAAAGAGAGATGGTTAGTTAATAATAAATGGTATCTTCCAACACCAATAAATTAGATATCTGAATATTTAATGGAAGGTGAGAATTAGAATTTTAGTTCAATTACAATATTAAGATTATATTTTGGTGAGAAAATTTCTTTTTATTTTGCATGGAAATCATATATTACATGTGCTTTAATGATTTTGGCAGTTCCTGGAGCTGCAATATAAATATATATTTTAGTCACAGGAGTATATTTTCCATCTATACTTCCATTTTGGGTTTGTTATGTTTGTTTATGGTCAACTTTATAAGTAGAATTTTGGAAAAGAAAAACATCAGAAATTACAACAAGATGGGGATGTTTGGATTTATTAGATTCTAAAGATAAGGGTGAAGTACGTAGAGGATTTTAAGGTTATGAAGAAATATATTAAGTAACTGGAGAGTTAACAAAACATTAAAAGAAAACAGAAACATTTTTTAAAGTAGTATTATCAGTGTTGGTAGTTTTGATCTTTTTGACACTTTGTGTTTTATTATTTGTTGGTGTAAATCTTATGGTCAAGAGATTTGAAGGTTAAATTATTATAACAACAGGACTCAATATTATATAAGGTGTTGGTATATTCGTACTCAATTTAGTATATAATCATATAGTAATGTTTTTTGCTTAATATGAAAATCATAAATATTAGGAAGACTATGAGTAATCTATTATTTATAAGAATTCAGCATTTACATTGTTAAATTCATATTTATGTATTTTTTATGCTGCTTTTGTTAATAATAAAGATTTTTTGGATCTTTTTATTTAATTAGTACCAGTATTAATAACAAAATAAGTGTAATTTGCAGCTCTGAAAGTTTTATTACCTAGAGTTCAGTATGATTATTATGAGAAATAATACTTCAAATAGTAATAACTAAATATTCAAAGATAAGGGTAATTGAATAGAAACAAAGAAGGATTTAAAGATAAGGTTGAAACTCTATATGAAACAATATTTAAAGAGAAGAAGTACACAATTGAGACATGTAAAAGAGCAGTTTTGAAAATACATGAGAAAGGGAAACCTCCTACATTAGAGATGAATTTAGATGCAGATTAAGTGGAATTAAATAATTTAAAATTGAATTATGAAGGAACTTTAGGTTATTTTATGGAAGGAATTATTGATTTAGGTTATATTACTTTATTTGCAGCAGCCTTTCCTATTGGGCCTGCAATTGCTGTAGTTGCTAATGTAGCTGAGATAAGAACAAAATTAATATCATTTTTGGAAGTCTATAAGAGACCAGAATGTTAGAGATGTGCTGGTATAGGAGATTGGTTAAATATTATGTAATGGATGGGTATGGGTTGTGTTTTTTCAAATTTTGCTTTGTTGTATGTAAAATATAAAGTTGAAACTGTTGAAGTAATTTATGGATATAGTGGAGAAGATTAAGATATTACTATTTGGTTATTCTTTTTGACTATTGCTATAATTTTAATAATCAAATTAGCATTTTAATGGTTGATTCCAGATAAACCATAATGGGTATTAAATGAATTATAGAATATATAAGAGAAATAACATGTAAATACAGGTTAGAGAGAAGCATTGAAGAAAACAAAGGTAGAGATTCAGAAGAAATAAGATAGATTGAGTTAGAGAAGGAAATAATTTTAAGAGTCAAAGTAGAATTGTACTTAGAAAATGTAAGCAAAAATAAATACAAAAATTGAGAAGGAAACAAAGATAGAGAGATTTTTACAATAAGAAGAATCAGAAAAATAATTAGCAAAATAAGGAGTTATATAAAAGGTAACAGAAATAGAGATAAAATCTGAAATGGTAACTTAAATAAGAATAGGATTGTTAAGATAGAAATTTATTGAAATTTAACATTTTCTATTATAATAAAGAATTAGATAAATAGATTAAGCTAGAACTAAGAATATTTTTTTATGTTAAGAATGTTCATTAGTAGAAGCAGTATTTGATTGTGAAGATTGTGATGAAAGTTAATGTTTAGAATGTTTTAGAAAAATACATACTAAAATGAAGAATATTACAACTCATGAGGTTATGTTATTGAAATCTGCAAAATATTATGAACATGAATTATTAAGTCGTTTATAAGTAAAAAGAAAAGTTAAAGTAGATAATAAGAGTAATTTATAAGTGAAATTAAATCAATAATAGTAGGATAATGAAATTAAAACTAGGAGATGGTAGAAATTATAAAATTTCTGTTTTCCTATAACTACTTCATCTTTAGCATATAATTCTTTACCTACAATATTTAATTTATTGAAACGTGAATATTTAGATAATTTAAATTTGGATAGAATAGAATTAAATAATTTTTATAGATTTAAAAGAGAATAAGAGAAATTTATTATGTATGAAAGTGAGAATATAAATAAGATATTGGAGATGGAGGAATTAAATTTAGAAGAGAAATTATGGTTGAATAGAATTGGATTTTTATGTTTTAAAAAGAATGCTAAATTTGAACATTTTTATGATTTGGTTAGAAAATTATAAAATAGTAATTTAGAAAGTAAGTTAAAATTAGTAGTGGATTTAGCAGATGTAGATAATGATGAATTAATTACAAAACATGAAATAGAAGCTATATTTGTACCATCTATTGTATAAGATTGTGAAGGGAAATTTTCACTTTAATAGACTATTGAAAATGCATTCAATAAACCATTAAGTAAATAAAAAGCTATGGAGATTCTATTGAATTTAATTAATTCTAATGAATAATTTAAAGAATTCTTTCAGCAATTAACATAATGTGAATGAATTAAATATATAAATATTGATATATACTAATATAATTATGAATAAGTAATAATAATATACAGATGTATATTCATTTGAACCTAATTTGGATTAAGTTTTAATAGAAATAATACCAGATATGATTGAATCAGTTGCTGATCTTAATGAAACTTAAATTTAAGATAGATTAGCTACTAAAAGAGTGAGTTCAAAAACTAAGACTGTTACTTTTAATGGAATGTTATTGATTTTATTTATTTTCATGATTTTAACAATAGTGAGATGGTTAATGAATAAAATTGATGTTAGATTGTTGAAATATATGCTAAAGTAATTTGAGATAATCATAAATTTTTAGAGACTCAGCATTAATGTTACCAATGGTTTTCATAATCTTGGTGTTCAATTATATGTTGAGTAGTTCTGTAAAATAGAAGTTGAATATATATGGAGTATTATATTATGTAGATCTTGATAAATTTTTAATGTAAATAGTGACATTCATAATTGTATGGTTTGGTGTAGGAATAGTATTCACATTTGTTTGGTAACATTAGAATACTATAAATAATGAATTTGAATAATTAGATGCTGAATAAACGCATAGACTTTATGAAAATATGTATTTGTATAACGATTCAAATACATATATAATATAAGAGAAAGTTTAATACCATTCAATTAGATAATAATTCATTTAACCTACTGATATACCAGTGATAAATCCTAGAATCTTAAGGAATGATTTTAACTTTGCATAATATTTGAACTTGAATCAACGTAAAATCTATTCATAAATCTTAAGAATCAATTCATTTAGCATTATTCCAATTATACTTTGTATGTTTCTAACATATGTATTCTCTTCTATCATCATCACAATACTTTTACTACTGTATTATTGGGTTTAAAAATCCAATCTATATTAAATCTACACAAAGATTGATGCTCCATATTAATACAATCCTACACCTTTATAATATCGTGGAATATAAGCACCACCTTATATTAATTTATAATTGTAAAAGAATAAATCAAGATTAAAATAAGTTATTGGATCACCATAATTCAATTTAAGATTACTACATTCCTTTGTTTTTATTTAAATATTTTGGTTTGCTTGGTTATTTTATGCACATAGAGTAAATAATTCAATTCTTGAACATACTTGGTTATCAATATTTGTATCTATTGCATCAATTAATGTAACAATTTTAACACCTATGATTGTTAAAGTGTTAACATATACTCATTTAATAGCAGATCCATATAAAGTTAGTATGGAATTATAATACAATAGATAATCATTATTGGAAAAGGTATCACATTATCTTAGATTTTGTAATCGTAAAGAAGATGAATAACATAGTTAAAATAATGAAGTTAATTAATAATAATAAGAAGATTAAGATTAAGATTAAAATTAAGATTAAAATTAAAATTAAGAAAAAGATCAATATTCATTAACTGTTGGTTAATAATAACTTATTAAATATGCATTTACATGTCTTATTAATAATGAAAAAGAAAAGTATGTTAAATAAGCTGTTGAATAATATAAAAAATAATTAATTGAAAATCCAAATTTATTATAAGTTCCAATTGATTCAGAAGAAGAAGAAGATTTAGAATTAGAATTAGATGAATAATCAGGATCATAAGAAGAAGATTAAGAAGATTAATCATAATAAAGATAATAATAATAGAATCTAAATTAAAATTAAGTATAACCTAGAGATATTAATGAAGCATTAAAAGAATATGAATAAAAGATAGTTGCTAAATTACTCAATAAAACTGAAAGTAGTAGTATTAATGTTAATTAATTGAATGATCTTAAAAAATATGTAGATTGTAATTTACCTTTATGGTATATGGTACTAATGGTGGACAAATATTTAAAATTGAATAATCCTTTAGTTGATACTATTAGATATAATGATCTTTGTAATTATTCTGGTTTTAATTAATATGTTCTTGAAACTGGAGACATGTATCCATAATAAAATGAAGTTATGACTCTTACATAATTGAAAGAGTATCTCATGAATTTTTTTACAGAATAAGAAGCTTAAGAAGTAGTGTAAGAGTATAGCTATTAAGAATAGATGGTTAATTTTGAATAATTTTATTAATTCATTGAAAATAATATGGTTTTGTTTCCAAAATGAATTATATAACAATATGATACATAAATATATTATAACAATATCTGATGATTATTTAAATTATTAAATTCATGACAACCAATCGATATTAATTGCTCATTTATGATGATGAATTTGTGCAGTTATATATTTCTATTATCATAGTAGAAACCCCATTTAAGATGAATCATCCCTTGAATATCTCATGACTATTTGTTTATAACAATCTACTGTCAATTAGAATAAGAAACCATCTTATTAAAAATAAACATTCACTAAAGATGAAGACAAAGATATTTTAAAGTATGTAATACAATATGGACCAAATTTTAATAAGATTGTTAAATTTTTCCCTGGCAAAACTATGAATATGATTAAGAATCGTTATTATAAGAAACTTAGATATCTTAAATCAGAATTGGAAGTAGATAATGAATTCGATTCTATTAGCAATAATTCTAAAATAAAAAAAAGTCATTGAAATTTTTACTTTTTATATTTATAATTAAATTATATAATTATTTATATTTAATTTGTTGTAAATTTTAAGTATGTCTAGAAACACAATTAAAAAGACACTCAAAAAAATTAAAAAGCCAAAACCTATCAATAAAAATAACAAATAAAAAATTGATGATGATGAATCAATTGATTCAGAATACTTAGATGAATTAGAAAATCAAAAACCATAAAATATATCAGATAAAAGTGATAGTGAAATTGATGAAACAGAAGACAATAGAAGATTAAGATTGGCTAAATAAATACTATAATAAACTAAATAAGATTTATAATCCAAAAAAGATGACTTTTTTTAAGATCATCATGATATTCATATGAATGATGAAGACAAAAGATTAAATGTAGCCCTACTTGAAAAAGTATTTTATACCATATAAATCTTAGTTTGCTGAAAAACATACTATCTATTAATCATAAATCCAAAAATTTGATCGTTAATTTAATAGAGAAATCTATAAAGGTCATCTTAGAGCCATAACTTGTACTTAAGTTGATGAATTTGCATAACATATGTATTCTTGTTCCAAAGATTCAAGTATTATCAAATGTAATTATAATATATAAATTTAAAGGGGATTTAGAAACTAAAAAGAAAGAATTCATATAAAGAGAAGTAGGTAAACATGGTGATGGTCATTATGATGAAGTCCTTACTATTTCATTGAATTATGATGGCAAAATATTGGCTAGTGCTGGTAAAGATCATTCTATCAAATTATGGGATACTACATCCAATAAATTGATTGAAACACTCAAACATCATAAAGCTCCCATTTATGGTGTAAAATTTGGATATAATTCTAATAATTTATGTAGTATCTCTTGTGATAGAACTTTCATATAATGGGATGCAGCATAAAGAGCTTATATTGACACATTGTAATATTTACAAGTAATTTATAAGTTTTGGACATAGTACAGAAGCAAATGACATCGATTGCTTTAATGCTGATGATTTCTTGAGTTGTGGATATGATAGATAAATGATTCAATGGAAAACTAAGTCAGGAGGATAACTTCTATATAATGGACATGAATAATCTATTGATTGTATTAGGGCAATAACTCTTGAGACTTTTGCTACTGGTTCTATTGATACTAATATCAATTTATGGAATGTTAAAAAACGAAAGCCATTATTTGAATTACATTAACCTCATGGTGATAGATGGATAACAGCATTAGTAATTATTGTATCCATAATTAAATAGGGAACTGCTTATAATAGTGATCTTTTAGTTTCAGGATCATATGATGATAATTTAAATATCTATAAAGTTACAAACAAAGATATTACAAAGGTTAGATCATTATAAAGTGTAAGATATTTTAAATAAAATTTAGTATGGAATAGTCAATCATATTAATGTATTTGATAATAAAATCCTTACTGTTGAGAGTCAGGAACATCGTCTAGGAAGATGGATTACTTCAACCAAAAGCAAAAATTTAATAGTGTTGTATTTATGATTTATTTTCTTATATATATATAAGTATTAATAAACAAAAAATGAATGAATCATCATTAATTACTTCTAATTATTTTTTATTACTTTACTTATTATATGTTTAACGGGTTTCCATAAAAATTTCATTTATTTAAAATTAATATATATATATATATGATTTTTCTCAATTCTAAAGATGGATCATTTATAATTGTCTTTTAATTTTATTTTATATTTATATAACAGATCTTTTCAATGACTAAAAATGCTCAATAGCAATTTATCAATCGAACTTATGTCAAAGTTTCAGCCATGTAAAAATGTTAGTTAATAGCACTAGTATTTTAAGAAGAATGGAAGATTAAGAAAGTAATTATTATTTGTACTAGTTAGGCAGCTTCATTCCTTTACATAAATTATGCCTCAGCCAAAAGTATCATATTAAAACACAGAAAAAACTAAATACTAACTAAATTGCCTATGATTTCAGAAGATAGGAGATGTCATTATAAAATATTTAAAAATGGAAAACATAATTACAACATCTTATGTTTAAAAGGAGGAATATTTTAAAACTTATTAGAAAATCTCTCTAACAAATGAAATCCATATATATACATATATAAATATCTATTTTTTCATATCTCTATATGCAAAATATTAATTTAGAATTCTTTATTTAGAACATATTTTTCCACACCTCAATTATAAATTAATATTAATACAAAATACCTTTCTAATAACCATTTACATGTTAATATCTTACAATAAAGAAAATATCTAAAAAAACATCTTTTGTTTTTTATTTTCATTTCCAAATTGAAACAAATTTAGGTTTTTTCAACAAAAACTATTTTCTTTATACACTTTTCACTTTCAAGTTGTTAATTTATATTATCAATTTAAATTACATTTTTTAGTTGTTTCTATTTCCAAACCATAAAAGTATTTAAATACTAAGACATTTTATAGTTCTCTATCTGAAAATTTGAAGTTTACCATTATTCAAAAGGGAATGTTGGCAATTATAAGGGGAATATTATAATTTAATATAATCTTTTAAAGGTTCAATCCCAAAAACATTCATTTTATTATAAAAAAAAAAAGAATTTTACTATTCTACTATCACAAAGCAAATAAATTCCAAAATACAAATTTATACATATTTATAATCAAACAAATGAAATTAGTATGAAAATGGATAATTTAGTTAAGGTTACTTTTTTATTATTTTCATAGATTTAATAATTTTAGTTTGATTTCTATACGCTTACAATTTAGACAAATTGATCTCTCGCCCTTTAGTATAGACTTAATCAATGTTTAAAAGGTTATGAATAATATATATGGTGAAATATTTATTATTATCTTGTAATTATGTCTATAAAATAGAAATTAGTTTAAGAATAATAAAATTTAATATAGTTCACATTTAGTGGAATAACTTTCAGATTATCATCTATATATTCTGGGTTTTATTCAAAAAAATTGTAAACATCTATTAATAAGTGTTAATAAAATATTAAATAGAACAAAAATAAACAATATTAATAGGTTGTAAGAAATCTTTATCTATATAAAAGAAAGTGTTTATCATATATAAAATATCTTATTTAAAAATTATATGTATATAACAAGGGATAATCTTTTGATTTTATTAATTTAAATAGTAATCAAGTAGATGGAGGTCATAGATAATAAATCTAGGTCTTATTGCAAAGTTTCTAAATAAAAATAAGAATAACTTTTAAATCTTGTTTATAAGGATGAATTCAGAATCAATTAAGTAGACATATATTGTTATATTAATATATAGGCTGCTGATTTTTTGAATATCAATTATGCCACTGCCAAGAATATTATAAGAAGGTTTAAGAAAATACACATTTTTAGAAAATGTGGGAATATTTCTGAATCCAAGAGATGTCATTATAAATAGATTGTAGAATAGAAAGAATAAAAAAATGGAATAAACACAAAAGGTGGATTAATAGGTGATTGTCTAACAGGATAAGTCTAGAAAGTTTGATTTTATTTATAATTTTATTAAATTAAATATCATATGAAGTAATATTTATCTATTATATAAGAGAATAAAACAATAAGTTAAGAATGTTTAGAGAATGATAAAATGAGAGAATGATTATTAAATATAATAATAAAATAATTAAACCATATTACTGATTAATTTTGGATTATTCACTCTTTATATTGATTGGATAAGAATTCTAATTTACTTTTAATCTCTGAAAATTAAGGAGGTCTAAATACTAATTCATTATCCTTATATTCTATATAGGATGTCAATAATTTAATGGCTACATCTTTATTTTTCATGATTAATTCTTAATACTATAAATGAGATTAGAATATATTACTTATTATTTAGGTATTTCAATACTTTTTTTTTCAAAGTCTTCAAGATTCCAACAAATCAACATAAGTCTTTTGGATTTATATTCTCCAGATAATACTATGAATTATTAATCACTACAAAGATTGTCAATATAAAGAGAAGCAGAACTTGATAATTAACCATATTAATCTTTCCATTATTTAACAGTTTATTTGTAATCTCTAAAATTGATTAATCTTTTTCTATTTCTGAATTGATGTTATATTGGTCTAATTCCTTTTTCAAGAAATAGTATACAATTTTAATAATGATGTCTTTAAATATCTTTTTTATCAATAGCTAGAAATATAAATTTATCTTTAACAATTAAAGTTCTTTTGCTTAATTCATTAGCTATAACTTTTCTATCTTTTTAATGAGTTAATTATTATGCATCTTCACTTGATAATTCCCATTCAATATTAAAAGTATTATCATTATCTCTATCTTTTTTATCAAGAGACATAGCAGCTACTTAAAATAAGGATTCAAAATGATTTTCAACAGCATCAGCAGGATCAGCTTATATTTTTGTAACTCTTTTTTCTAGTACACTAATTTTCATTAAGAATTTATGTTTTCCAAAATATACTATTTTTTTGGCTAAAATAATTTAACTTTCAGGTTTAAATTTACTTTGTATTTAATCTTAAACATCTATTTCTCCATTTTCCACTTAAATTAAAGATGGATTAATCTTTTAAACATTAATTAAAACTTTTCCTTATTTATCAACTTTTACAGCATCTATAATTGATTCACTTATAGTTTTCATTGCTATTTTATCATCTTAATGTAAATATGGATATAATTTTTTAAAATCACTTAATTCAACTGATATTTAAACAGTATTCTTTAATTCTTAAACAACTGATTTCTATTTAACTTAACCTGAATAAACAACATTGTATATAGTTTCAGAATAAATTTCTGATTAATTTTATTAATAATGATTAACAATCTCATTTTTATCTGCTTTTTATATTTCTAATCTTAAACCAGGACTTCTAACATCTACAACTTCCTTTTGTTATTCAATTTCCTAAACAGTTTTGTATTAATTGCTTTCAAATTATAATAAATCATCTTTAACAAAAACTTAATTAATAATATATTCTGCTATTTTATTAGATCCTATATTAATCATTTCAGTTGAATCTAAAATATGAATACCTCTATATCTAATACGTCTATTATTATATTAAATTAAATCAACAGTAATTTAAGTTTCAAATCCTTATAGAATTTTATACATATTAATAATATAGTATTAACCCTATATTATTTTGAAACTTCTATTAAATTATTTACCAATTTATCTTACAAGTGATTTATCAGTACATTAAACTTTAAGATTATAGATTTACATATCTTTTCTTGTTTTGTAATGTACTTAAAGTTTTGTAATAGCTTAAATCATACTATAAAATTAAGTATCATTCTTTTTCTTTTATGGAATTTCTTTCAATTCAGTAACTTTAAATTCATTTTCAAAAGAAATTTCAAATGGTGTTTCTACTCTAATTATACGAATAATATATTCAATTAAAGGTTTATACATTTATTCATAATAATTTGGTAAATGAACACCTTTATTTTCAATCCATTTATCTTTAACATTTGTAAATTCTTTTTAATCTAGTGTTTAATCAAGAAGATTTAAAAAGTATACTTTCTTAACTTTATTATCTACCATATTACCATTACCATCAATTTCATTTAATTAATGAAATACAATTTTAATTTAATATTAAGTTAAAAAGAACATAATTTTAATATATTTATTATCTTTCTAGATATAACGATGCATTAAAAAGATATTTTTTTCACTTCTCTTTCTATATTATAAATAATATTTAAATTATGATTTTATTTTAAGAGATCTCTATATTCTAAGAGCAAATAAATCTTTAAATATTTTACTTAAAAATGGTTTGATTCTTAAAAAATTTGTTGTATGATTTTCATAAATAACTAAATTATCATCCAAATAATTCATTAAAGGAGTTAATAATTTACAAATCTTTTAAGGAGGACTATTCTTAACTACTTTCATTAATCTATAATTTTCAAAATCTCTTGCAGGTATTATATGAGTTTTAAACATTTCTGGATTATCATCAAAATAAACAGTAAATATTATTTATTGATCACTTAAATTAATTAAATATTCATGAATTCTATCTAAACATCTATTTTATCTTAATACAACTGCTTAATATTTATTTTCAATCAAATTTTCATACATAGACTTACTTTTATTCAAATTAATAAAAACATTTACTAAATTATATATATCACCTTCTACATTCTCCATATTAGGTTAACGATGTTATCTAGCTTTCCATATTTCTTATTCTATCAATAATTATTCTTATGCTCTAAAATCACTTACAAAATTAAATATTCCTTCATCTATTTATAAATATTTAACTACACTCTAACTCAAATTTTATTTCAAAAATTCCATCTCTACTTCACCATTTAAAACACTAAGTATATCTATATTACATCTTAAACTTATATTCAATTCAGTTTTACCTTCCACCTCTAATTAATTAGTTTATTTATTAAATATTATTCTAATAAGAATTCTTTATGAACTAACTACACAATATTCTTAAAAGATTAAAATACGAGATTCCTTCTCTTTCTATATTCTTCTACTTTCTTCATCTTTTATTTATTATTCTCTTAATTTCTTTTCTTATTCTTCTTATGCTTTTCTCTATTCTCTTTAATCATATTCATCTTTCCTTATTTACAAGAAATCCAAATTATATTTTCCTTCTTCCAAATCACCATAACCAAATTCACTAATATATTTATATTCACGAACATAATTTGATATAGATTCTTAATCATAACATTTTACATCAATTTAATCCATTAAACATTTGTAATAACTTCTTTTCCAACTTGAATAATTACTTCTTATAAATAATGTTGCCAAATATTAATTACTTTTCTTTTTATTTTTCATTTATTTTGGTTTTACTCTCTCCAATATATTTATATCCATCTCAATATTTGAATCTTGAATCCATGATTTTCTCATATGTGAATTCCACAATTTTCTAGCCTATAATGTATCATCCTTCTTCTCTGTAGATTACTTTTAATCATAATCTTATTCATTAAGTAACATCCCTTACACTTCCATTAGATTTCTAACATCAAATCTTAAAGAACCCTTAATTTACATCACTTTCCCTATAGTCATCATTCTCTATCCAATCATTGTTAATTCACCTATAGACATTTCACTATATAAGGGTTATTTATATGGATGTATATAATCAGAAGGAAATTTATGTTCCAATGATCTAACATCTATACTAATTGATTATTCATTTGTAACCTAATCCACTATTAATGAAAAATTCATAAAAAATGCTCTAGCTGGAGATTCTCCAGATACAACCACTTTCTTTACTAAACTAGTACATTTAACTTCATTTTTATAAAACTAAAATTATCTTGTATTCTTTTTTATAATATAATCTTTCTAACATAAATGTTATCTAATAGATCTTTAAATCACTCTAACACAACTCTCTATTTAAGAAAATGAGAATTATTTCTTCTTTTAATTTGCTTCTAATTCTTTATTAATCCAATATTATCCTTCTTCTGTATAAATTATAGTATTCACCTAAATTTAATAAATATCAAAGAAATTCTCTCTACTTGGAAATCCCAATTATTTTGTAATTAATTAACTGATTTTTAATTTATTTGTTATTTGCCATTTACGATCATAAATCACTTTAGCAAATATCTCATCTTTATCATTAATAAAAACTTAAGTATATCCTGATTTAAAACTAAGTCCAAATTATGCTTTGATATGTCTTCTTCTATTTACTTTAAATCTCATTGTATTAATAGCATTTCTTGCTTTAAATTAACTTTATAAAAATGTAATCAATTATAAATGATTACCAATTTTATGCATAACTTCCAATTTAGATTTCTATTACTCTTAAATTACTTAATACATATCACTATAATTAAAATCTGTAAATCCTGCAACATTTAAATTAGATTACTCATCCATATAAACTAAATCTTCAAATTGAATCTTTGCCAAATATTTAATAATATGAATTCTATCAAGTTTTAAATTATATGAATTTTCAACTATTGAAATAAATGATTAACTTGTCTAACAACAATATTAAATCACTTAAAGATGAATTTGATTTGGTTCTATTTCAGCTTATAATGCATCTTAATATTCAATTATTCTAGCAAACATATAAAAGAAATCTTTCTCATTTATTTCAATTATGAATGGTTTTAAAAGTGATCTATCACATTTCTTTTTAGCATATGCTTATAATTTAAATTAAAATTTCTATTCATTCCAAGTCAATTAAAATAAAAACAATTTATTTTAAATTTTATCAGCAACCTATTTAATATGAAATGTAATTAATCTCTTTCTAATTACATTCTCTGATTTTGATTACTATTTCACAAATCTATTTACTGCTATACACTTTCTAATATGTCTTTATATAAGTATAGCACTCAATAATTATTTATGAGGATATATAGTTCTTCTCTTTATATCTAACAATTAATATGCAATCTCTCTAAACTTTCTCTATATTCTCAAACTTCTAAACCACTACTAAATCTTTTTTATAAGTTCCTCATATCTCTCTTGTAGTTTCCTTCTCTTTTCTTCCCTCTTCATTATTTCCAATTTCTTTTAAGCTGCCTTCCTTCTCCAATGACTTTATAATTTTACTATTGCTTTAATTGGATACACAATCTCATCCTTAGTTTTTTTAATTTCTATAACTCTAGCTTCAAATTTCAGTTATAATTCATTTATCAAAAATTTTATTCTAATTTCCTTTGATTTCTTCTCTTCAATTATTGATATTTGATTTGTCTAAACTATCTATTAATCATGGTTTTCTTCCTCAGAACTACTCCAATCAAACTTTTCATTCTTTTTTTCAGTCTTTTCTTCAACTATCTATTTCTCTTCTTTTTCTTCTTTAGGTTCATTCATTTTATTTTTCTTTATCACAAAATTTTTCTTTGTAGGTTATTATGATTATGGTGATTACAGTTATTATTATAATTTCTATTCATCTAATAAATCACTCAATTATTTTATGGACTATTTTGAAGTATTCCCTCTAAAATAGAATGTTTTTAATTTTGGTTCACTTTTTACAAATGCTAATGGTTTTGGTGATTAAAGCACTATTTTTCTAGGTGTTTTTTCTGTAACTTGCATCATGTCTTATCCAGCCTTCTTATATGCCATCACTTAGTAGCGTTACACATCCTTGCTACTGTTAAAGTTTTTGTATACATTAGTAAAGTGTGTCTTGTAATGTCCTCAGCCCATTATAGAATCAAAATTGGAAGATCGGATTTCCCAGAGCTTTCTTGTAATCTCAAGGCAAAATTGCATATCCTATCTATAATACCCCTAAAATCAAAAAGAGGGCTATCGTAACCATGTTAAACCTTCATACGTTCAATATCTAAATAATGAAAATCAAATGATTAAACATTCTTTGAACTTTGATAAAGCTGGAACCACTTAAAGACTAGATAACATTCGATCGGCATCCTCATATAGTCTCTGGTTGATTTAATCAGATCTTTTTAGAGTAGTGGCACTTGTAACTCTCAATAATCTACTCATATTTTATATAAATATTTATATATGTAATCATTAAAATGGCATTTGATAATTTGCATTATAAGGTGTGTTTGGATAATTAGGAGGTACTTGCTATTATTATTAGAAAGGCAATTAACCAAAAGGACCTTATTATAAAGATTATCCAAAAGGACCAGAATTTTATTTAGGATCTACTTATGATCCAAAAGGTCCTTAAGTTTAACCAAAAGGACCTTATTATTATTATGGTTAACCAAATGGACCTTATTATGATTATTACTATGGTTAACCAAATGGAACTTATTATTACTATGATTAACCAAATGGAACTTATTATTATGATTATTATGGTTAACCAAATGGACCTTATGATCCAAAAGGTCCAGGTTATGTATTAGCTTTAGATTAATTACCCTATTGTTATTGATTGAATATGGATTAGGGTTAAAATGGAATCTAGGATGATTAAGCAAATTATGGTTAAAAGAGACCTTAGGCTTAAATAGACTATTAGAAGCGACTGAGAGTTTATTTTGCTTAGATATTAAAAATAATGTCTTCTTATTCTCTATTTTTCATTTTAATTTCATCTTATAATTTTTTGGCTTCTATAAAATTGAGATCTCCTTCTCTTTCCCAAACATATACTAAGATTGGATGTTCATCTCCAAAACCAGCAATAGCAATCATATGATATCCTTAGTTCCAAACAACATCAGCAACAGGACCAATAACATTAAATTAAAATATATCAGTAGGTAATGTTTATGTTAAATTACTCCATAGATGAGGTTTACCATCTTCACTACCTGATAAAACATAATCTCCTTTTGGACTTGGAACACTTCTACAAGCAATTTTAACAGATTAAGATCCAAAGAATCTATTATTAACAGAACCATATATAACTTCATGATCATGAAATTTGCCATCTCCAGATTTAAAATCAACAATACGAATACAATTATCTCTTGTATGAATTAAGAGATCTTGACATTCTGGAGGCATTAATTGTATAGAATTAATTGGATTTCCAATAATTTCTTATACTACTATCAAACTTAATCTTCTAGCAATATAACTACCACCAGAGAGATTAATATCAAAAAAATGAATATTACCCAATGAATCTCCAACATACAAACATTTGGCACCATCATATACTATACAATTAGGATGTCTGTGATTGCCTAAATTATCAAATTGATCAAAGGATATTCCATCATATGAAATGATTTCTTATTAAATTGGTTCATCTATAATTTATAATTGTTGATTAGACTCAAATTACCATATACGCATTCTGCTATCAAAACAACATGTTGCCACTACTGGTATTTTATTATCCATCAAAAATAAACCAGCATAAACAAAAGATGGATGTTAAAGAGTACAAATTTATAATAAATCTGATTCTTCTTCATTTACTATATCTCCTGAATGTTGAGGTACACTCCAAACTTTAGCTGTATAATCACTTGATACTGTTATTAAATATTAAGAATTCTGTGAGAATTATAAATCATGAATGATATTCCTATGACCTTTATATGTTGCAAAATGTTATCCATTCTCTACATCAAATAATTTTACAATAGTTTTTGAATTTCTATAAGTACATGCACATGCCAAATAATTACCATATTTATTAAAAGTTAATCTATAACATCCCAAAGGAGCACTAGCAAATTTATAAGCTATTTTTTCTGGTATATGATCTTCCTTATCTCCAAGATAACGACGTCTTCTTAAATTGATTTTTTCTTAATCTGTAATTTCTTCTACTCTCTATTCAATTACTTTCTCCATTACTACAGAATGTTTCACCTTCTCTTTTGCTTCTTCATCTCCTCTTTCTATCTCAAAAACACTTGTGCTTTAACTCTTACCATAAATCTCAATAAATTAAGGCTTTGGTTCAGTACCCAAATACACATTCAAAACTGCATCATATTCAACTTTATCAAGCCAAAGAAAATCAAAATATACTAAAGGAATTGATTCTCTTCTACTTACTGATTTCAATTTATTTGTATCAAACAAATACTTATATAATTATATTTTACTTATTCCTAAATGTAATTTACATAATCCATTTGGTCTTGCATATCCCCATGCAATTCTATAAAAATTATCTGAATCCAAAAATTCACTATTACGCTATTATAAATAAATGGGATGAAAATCCAATAATTCAAATAAAATAATTGTATCTGATTTATAGAATTCATCTGCTGGAATATTAATTAATATTTCCTCATTCCATTATGCTCTACTATTGGTAGCCATACGCATATCACAAAAATTAGTAGAAAAAGCTGTTAACAACTCTAATTCACATGTAACTCTCTCCCTCTCTCCATCCATTATATTTGTAATACAATTGCTTTCATAATTATAAACAGCATTTGTGAATTCTCTTGGTTAATTGTCCTCATTTTTTGGTTTATATAAATAACATCCATTTTTAATATTTATCACATGCATCCTTACAAATGGATGCTAAATGTTTGTATCCATCTATAATTATGATGTCCCAATTATCTTCACAACTACTGTCTACATTATCATTTAAATACAATACTCTATCAGGTGTAATTTGAGCTTTATCTTTCTCACTTAATGAAAATGGATTTACTATTTAATCATATTCCACCTTATTTAATTTATCGACAAAGGTGATTCTAGGTTGATCACAATGTAACAATCTATTTATTCTTGCTCCTATTCTATCTCCTAAAGAGAAACAATTATAAATTAAATCATCATTCATAAAGTTGTTAAATGTCATTCCACTGTCATGATTGGGTGCAGGTTATAATTTCTTTATTTCTCAATATTCAAACAATTACCTCTTCTTCATTGTCTTCATTTTCTTCATGTTATTCAAAATTTGAATTTGCAAAATCAACCTTCTTCTCTGCTGGCTATGATAGTTGCTAATATCCTCCAAAAGGCATTTCACCTTCTCCTACTCTCTTTTACTATAAGGCTGAAATAATAATTTCAAAAATCTACGTGGCAATTATCTAGGAATATTTGAACGTGACATAGTTATAAATATTAATCTTTTTTATTTTATTATTCTCTCATTTTCTATTTATACCAAACTATAATATATTTAATTTAATCTATTCCAATTGTTCTCAAGTTATCATACATTTTAATGTTATATAATCTGATATAATTTAACTGATTATTTTGAGAATATGTTACATTCTTAATACAAAATCTAAATGAAACTCTATTATATATATATTAATAATATATAAAACTTATATCTAATAAAAATTATTTACTTTTACTTAATTGGATTTATTTATTTTTTAAATATTTATAAGAGTATTTCATATTATTGAGAATCCTTTTAGATTTTTCTAGTTTCTTAATTAAAGAATAATAAAAATATTTCTTATTATAAAAAATGATATTACCATAAAATTATATCAATTCAAATATAATTAAACAGATTTATCAAATTTGCTCAATAAACATATTTCCTTTGGTAATACAATATATTCAAAGTTTCCAGAATGTGAGAATAAATCCTTCATAAATTCTTCTAAAATATCAAGAATAAATATAAACTTAATAATATAAATACCAGTAATAATTACATTAATTCAAGTTATTTATGAATTTTACTACAAAAAAGTTAAACTAAATAGTATTGCAATTATAATAGAAATACATATGATTTTAAATAAAATATCATTAAAACAATTTAGAGTAATTCTTAATTTTAATTTTTGCAGGATTCAGAACTAATTATGATTATATTTAGTTATTTAATAATATATATGTTACTAAATTCAATTTAGGAAATATTACTTAAATAATTAATAAGGGATATATAATATAATAATATAATTTGTATAAGATTACTTTTTATTTTATTTAAATTATATGTGAATATTATGTCAAGCTAATCTACCTGCATAAATTCCACCTTCAATTCCAACATGATTAGATCCTCTTAAGATTTTGAATAATCCTTTTTCTCCCCATCCTTCATTCCAAGAGTTTACTACTAACCAATATGGAACATTTTTTTCAACACCCCAACCAATGATTTTAACAGCATGTCCTCCCAAACTAGCTCCAGCAACATGTTGATATACTCCAGATTTGTATGTTAAAAAGTCTTCATATACTGTAAATGATGCCTAAAATAGAGAATGATATTATACTTCAACTGGACCAAATGTCATGATTTCATTTTAAATTTATTCTACTTTTGATGAAACAGAATATGCATCAACAGATCTTACTTTATCTGATTCATAGTTTCTTCCAGATTGAGCAGTACATGATCTAACACAAGCAGGTGTTGGTTATGATTCTCCACATGGTCCATACTTTCCATCATCAACATGATGATCACATGGAGGGAAAGTATATGGTCTACACCAGGTATCATCACCATAAAGATCACCTGTGACAAGTCCCTTATTCTTAAAGTAGTTCCATGCACCACTTGGGAATCCACCATTACATCCCATTCCGCATGTAATTCCACAGCAAGTTAATAAATCTTCAGTTGATATTCTGGTTTGTTATCCAGTTTGAATACATAATCTATCACTCATGGCTTCAGCAGCACCAAAAGCCCAACATGAACCACATGTTGATTAATCTCTAATTTCTTTTATGGATTCACAATTTGGCCATTATTCTCTGGAATCAAAACTTTCTGGTATTTCTAAATTCTCAAATTACACAGTTGACTCTGGTAATTTCATAAAATCTGGTTCATCTAAGAATGTTCCCATCTAAGTTTTTAATGTGGCTTCATTGAATTATTCCCATCTTTCATTATGTCCTGAAACCCATGTAGACTGTTGAGAGTTGACAAAATCATAAAAAGTTTAAGATTGAAATCTCAAACCGAACGCTGACGTAATTAATGTAATGATAAACATTTATTATTAATATTATTATGTAGAATAAGTTCAATATGAATTAAAAAGGTATATCAATTAATCATTGACCAAAATTTAGAAGGATAGAGTGTATTCATTATATTTTGAAAATAAATTGGAATTGTGACATAATTTTAATATTTCAATTCATATTAATTAACATTTAGATAAATTAGGCTTATTGATTTATAAATATTAAAAATAAGTAATTAGTTTGAGATGATTTATATATTTTATTATAATATATTTGAGAAACTGTAGAATGTTTAGAGGTTAACAATTTCTTCAATTACCTATTGGTTATTTCGTATAAAATAATTAAGAGAAAATATAAAAGAAATAAAAGAATAATGTAACATTACTTATTAATGGAATGAAAAGTATTATTGATAACATCTTAATACAAAACAAAATTTAATTTATAGAAATAAATACTAAACATCATTAATTTGATAGACTGATTTTATAGAATCATATACGGTTTTATTGTTAAAGTAATTCATATATAAAACATGAATCTGTAGAGAGAATTAAAGGTAAATTTTACAAAAAATCATTTGATTCTAATAAAAATCCAAAATTTTTAATTTAGGAAGGGATTTTTAGAATAGATATTACAAAAGAAGAGTATCTCTTAGATGGAGAAGGGATAGAGTATTGTGGTAAATCAGAAATGATTAAGATTTAAGGAGTGTTCATTTAAGGTAAATTATAAGAAATAGAAAGTAAATAGAATTCTAAATCATTTAATTTATAAGAGAATACTTAATCAAGAGCAAAGATTATTATTATAATGGATTAGAATAATTAGATAATAAGAAGTAAATCATTGGAGAATGATAACGAAAAACTAAGGGAAATGTATTAAGGTAACCGAATTGTATACAATTAATCATTAAGTGATAGAGATGTCAATATATTAAGAAATAATTCAAAGGAATGGTTAACATCTAGTTTGATTGATACTTTTGTTGAATATTTAAATTAGAAGAGTGAAATAAAAGTTAATATGTTATAGTTGGAGGAGAGAATGAATATACCTAGAATCTTATTTATACCTAGTTATGTTACATCTTCATTTGGATTATATGAGGATGAGACAACTTATATGAAAAAAGCTGAGGGATTATTATAAACTGAGTTATTATTTTATAAAGAATTAAATTATGAGATGAAGTAGATTTATACAAAGATTGGTTTCCCTGTTAATATTAATAATATGCATTGGGTTTTTTTGTTATTTGATTTAAGGAAAGAGGAAATATTGTTGTTTGATTCTTTGAAATCTACAAAAAAGAAAAGGGCAACACCAGGTTATTTAAGTAAGGCTATTGGAAGATTTTTAAATTTGGATATGAGAAAATGTTATATGATGAATAATATTAAATAGAAAGATAATTATTCTTGTGGATATTTTGTTTCTTCATTTATGGAATTTGAGTACAAATTGTAGTTTAATTAAAATTACAGATATTTTTATGATGAAAATAGAATGAAAATGAAAATTATGTAGTTAATGAGTTTTGAATGATTGTATATATATAATAATTCATTACTTGTTCATAGTCTAATAATAATAATAATAATAATAATATATATATATTAACAACATTGTTTTAAAAATGATTGTTCTTTATAAATGATATAATAAAATTAAAGTTTAGGTCACTTATAAATATTGTTTGATGGGAATAACCTGTAGTAAAGCAAAAAAGGGACAAGAAGCCTTAATTGAAAATTAGATAAAATTGGCAGTACAAGAAGATGAGATTCTTAATTAAGTTGAATATAATAAAGGATTGAATGAGGATTAAGAAGATTCTAATTAGGAATAAAGTTAAAAACCTGACCTTTAATATTTGAATAGTAGTTCTAAAAAGGCTATAAGTCGATCTGATGATGAAGAGGGTGAGAAATAAAAAAAAAAGACAGGTAAGAAAAAACCGGTCTAAAAAAGAGATGACAATTATCTGAAAATCTTAGAGTATTCAGATCTAAAAATACAAGCATATATTCTTTTATCAAAAGAAGAAGACATAACAACATCTTATGAGTTGACAATAACATTTTCATACTAAGATTATCAGTATAGTGTTAACTGTAAAGCACTTATTCTTTGTGAACCCAAATAACCTTTTACATTAAGTCCAATAAAATTTGAAGATGCTATAAGCAACAGTTAATTTTAACCTTTCTTTCTTTTAGATACATATTTCAATGTGGACCTATAGTTAAACTCAAATTTATAATCTTTTAATCAATTGTTAGAAGTGAAAAGGAATACTTAATCAGACAAAAAAGATGAAGATAGTCCATAACTTTTTACTAAGAGACAAAGTAAAATAATGAATACTTAAATTGTAAATGGAGGTCCATAAAAATAAAAAAGAAAAAAGAAAAGAGAAGCAGCTGAAATGATGGAATTAATACATGTATTTGATTTTGAATGTTCACCTCGTTTAAATCAAATATTAATAGCTCTTATGATTCAATAATACAGTCATAAAATAACTAAATATTTGATTACTATTAATGATGTTTACTTTTTATTTAATGAGAAACCATCTCTTGATAAGTAAGAAGTTCATAGAATCCTTATTTTTTATGAACATTTTGATTATAGTTTGTTAGAATTGAGTGAATATCTACATTCTAAAAAAATGTAATTATCTCATATTTGTCATCTTTAACTTTCTTTAAATTTATTGTAAATATTGTATAATTCATATAAATCATATCTATATAGATTGAATATAACATTAAATACAGTATTTTGGGTTAGCAAAGTAAAGAAATTTAAATTATAAACATTTGGAAGAATATAGAATTTATTAGATTTGGATGGTAAAGATTTTTAAGTCAAATTTAAAACTGCAAATGAATAAAAAATTAATGTTTTTTATAGAGATTTTGATAGAGACTTTGCTGCTGTATTAGATATTATAGCATTTTTTAAAGATTTAAGTAAAGAGATGGCATAAATTAAAAAATTAAGAAGAAAGAAAAAGAATTTACCTGAAGGAGAAACTTATTATAGTAAATATATAATAATGTATGATGAATTATTTTAAGATAATACTGATTCACTATTTTAGGGTTTGGTTAGATTAAAATTCTTTGAAACAAATTCATATGATTAAATACTTGAAGAAATAAAATCAATTATAATGACTTTGGAGAAATTGATAAAATAAGAAATTGCAACAATTGAATAAGAAAAATAATAAAGAGAATTAGAAATGTAAGAATAATAATAGTAAGTCTCCCAAAATGTAATTTAAGTAAAATTAGATGATGATGATGATGAATAAGAACCTATTGAATTGTAGTCATTTAATTTTCTATTAGAAAGGAAAAAGAAAAAAGACTTAACTTAAGAATAATACTTGTATTATTAAATGATATACTCATCTCTCTTTTATAATCAAAATTTTAATGTAATTTGTGATTAATTTCTTGAAATTTCTAAAAATTAAATCTTAATAGCATATGCTTAATTACATTATTCAATTTGGAGAAAATTAAATTCAGTTGTTAAAGAAGGTTATAGTTTGGAATAGTAGACATCATTACTTTCCATATCAAAGAATGTGACATAACTGACTTTATCTTAAGATTCATTTCATTATTATTTATTGTTAGAGTTGATCACAAAAATGAGAGATAAACCATTTAATATTTTAAATCATTTAAAATCTATGATATAAGAATAAAATTATAAACGAAAAAGATAGGTTAAACCTAAACTTAGTAGAAATTAAAAATTTAATGGAATTATTGAAATGAGAAAAGCAATCTTTTTAGATTTATTTTTTATTGATCATTATATAAGTGAACATCATTATAATAAAGCAATATATTTGATGCAATATGATTTATCATCTTAATTGAAATTTAATTTAAAAAATTATATGCTATATACACAATCACTATTTATAAATGGATTATTATGTGAAAAGACATTACAATCAGTATCAGCAATGCTTAATTTGGAAATATCTAAATTATTGTATGATTAATACTTTCCCAATAGTAAGATTGTTTATATTGAGGATGAAACTTAACGATAAGTGACTAAAGAATAAATGGAAAGTGGTAAATAATATACTTCTAAAATTCTTAATTATGATAATTAAGCATGTGAGAATATGAATGTATTAGATTTTCATTTGGGTAAAGTGTATTTTACAATTCATGATAAAGAGAATGCTTTAAAATGTTTAAGGAAAGTAAAATAAGCTAGATAAAAGAAATTTGATATTTTATCAGATGAAGTAATTGAAGTAATAATTGAAATATTACGAATATTGGTAGAATAAGATGATAGTGGAGCAGCAGGTGAAATTTGTTATGAGTATCAATAGAAATTCAAAGAATAATATAGAAAAAATACATTTTTTAAATCAAGGTATATTGCTCGTTTGTAATTGATAATGGCAGCTATATTTGAATGTAATGGTATGATGTTGAGTTCCCTTAGATATTATTAAAAAGCCAATAAAACCTTCAATTAATCTAGAACTAATTCATATATTTTATAAATACATATTAGAATGAAAATTATGAAATTGATATCTGCTATTAAAACTAAGGCACTTTCAATAAATTCAATCAATAAAGGACAAATAACATTATTTAATTATCATACTGTATATTTATCTGAACTTGTGAAACCATATTTTAATAATTAATTTCTTAGATAGGCAATAGAAGAGAAATAAAATTAAGTAAATTAAGTTATTTTTAATCATTTAATAAAAATTTATTCATTATTTCGTCATTAAGATTATGATAAATTATAGGATAAACTAAATCAATTACATAATGTTCTCAAAAAAAGAAAAGTAGATGAATGTTATGGTTATACTCTATAGAAATTAGGTATCTATAATGCATCTCATAGTAATTATCCTTAAGCTATAAATTATTTAAAATTAGCTATAGAAATTTATGATAGATTTCTCATATTTCCTTAAAAAGAAATAAGACAATTACGTTGTTAAATTTTGATATTTCATTGTTGGATATAATTAGAGAAAAAGAAAGAATATTAAGATCAATTGAATTTGATAGATTAATTTATTTAAACAATAAATGAAATGATCTCTTGGAGTAATATTCCATATAAATCAACTACAAATAAATTTACAGTTTTGTAATTGAAACTTGGCAAATAAATTATATATTAATTAGAAGAGATGAGTTAAGTAATTGAGAAATTTCAAAAGATCAGATATAAACTTATTTAACATTTATCTAATCCAACCAAATTAAAATCAGTAGCTATAAAAAATTTTAAATAAATTATTAAAACTACAGAAAAAGAGTAAATAAAAAAAAAAAGTCATAATGAAACTAGATAATCATGTTTATTTGGTTTTTTGAGTCATTAAAGTGTAAGACCTAGAAAATCTACAGTAATATAAAATAAATCTATTACATAAACTGAATTAGAGTATTAAGAAACTCAAAAGTATTTATATAAATAATATTAGATCAACAAATACAAGAAGAAGTAATTTAAAAAATAAAGATAATATGAGTATTTAATTAATATCTGAGAAATCAAATTAAATCAGTTAATAATTTGATGTTGTATAAACATAGAAATCATAGATCTTTGATGATAATTTGGAAACGGAAAGAAATGGCAATTTGCACATTTCATATAATATAAAAGATAATACTAATACAAAATGTAGTACTGGAATGCCTTCAATGGCTTAGTTGAATATGACACCAATTAATGAAATTTCAAGATTATCTGTGAAATCACCAATATTAAATTCAAAATAAAAAGGAAACAAAGATTAATAGAAACTTAAAATTAATCCATTTCAAAAGATTACTCGAAAATGAACTTATATATTTTATGTAATTTATTTCCTTTTATAATGTAATGATTATGATTGATAAATAGATACAATAAGAATTTCATTTAAAATAAGATTCTGAAAAATAGAAGATTTTTTAAAAGTCTTTATAAAATGGACATATTATTTTCATATTTCAATATATAAATAAATTTAAAAACCGTAAATATGGGAGCTTGCTGTGCAAAAAAGGCTGACAGAGAAGCTGGAATACAATAATAGATAGAAAAAACTATCATTGAATAATAGAAACTTAGAGAAGAAGAAGAAGAAATACAATTCAATTAAGGAAATAAAGACTACTCAACTAAGAGATCAATTCATGTTGTTTAAACTACTATGTACACAAATTAAGAAAGATAAGATGATGCAATGGTTTAGATCATTTAAGAAGAAGAAAAATAACCAGAAAAACCAGTTAAAAAGACTAAGTCAAAACCTACGAAAGACGATATTAATTATTTCAAAAAATATGAACATGTAGTACATGTAAAGGCAATAATAGTAGAATTAATAAAAAATTAAGTTAGTCATTATTATTCTTTGATAATGAGAGTAGATTATAAGGATTATATTGGTGAAGTAAAAATGAATGGAATCTTAATAACTTCAAGTGAATTTCATTATTACAACATCATACCTGAAAAATTTAATGATGCAAACTAGTTCTCAAGGTTCTCTACTTTCTTCTCTAATGATAATTATTTTAATGCAGATAAAGAAAGTATTAACAATTTTAATGCATTTGAAAAACTTATGCCAGTAGAAAGAATAGTTAGAATAAAATAAGTAGAAAAGAGAGTACGTAGAAAATAAACTATATTTGCAGAAAAGGAATCTCCATCTCCAGTTAAGAATAAGGTGGAATTCTTTGATTCAAGATAATAAGAAATGTTAGAAGTTATAACAATTGTAGATATTGAAGAATAAGAAAGATTCTAATGTCTTTTATTCCATATACTTGTACAATAACAATTCCCAGAACTTAATTAATATTTAGTATTCATATAGAATACTACATTTCTTTTTGATAGACCTCCTTAATTTGATGCTCCAAATATTTATAGAATTGCATTATTTTATGATAAATTAGATTATTCATTAAAAGATTTGCAAGTAGCATTGACTAAAGATAATAAAGAATTATCACCTCATTTGCATAAGAAACTAACTCTAAATCTACTTTAAATATTATATAATTGTTATTCAAAGTATATTTTTAGACTTAATTTTACACTTTCCACTATCTTTTATTGTGTAAAGAGTAAAGGGTTTAAATTGGAATCTTTTGGAAGATTAAAGAGTATGCTTCCCTTCTATCATAATCAAGAAATGTTATTGAAGAGTGTAGAAGAGAAAAAGATTACAGCTTATAGAAAGGCGTTGAAAAGAGATTTATTTGCACTTTGTGATTTAATAATCTACTTTAAAAGAATTGGTCAAACTACATTAAGATCTATATAAGCATAGAGAAAAAAGTTCATAAAGATGATGGATGGAGGAAATGATAAGGATGATTAAGAACAAGGTGATAATTATCTTCATATGGCTGAGGAACGTTTTAGTCATAATTCTGATAAGTATTTATTTGAATTTGTTAAAATGGTTCTATTTACAACCAAAGTTGATTCAGCAGAAACTATCTTATAAAATCTTTAATCTATTATTGAATCTTTATAAAAGTAAATATCTACTTATGAATATAAATTAGAAACTTAAAATGATGATGATAATAAATAATAATAATAAAATTAAAATGAAAGTCAAAAGAAAAATGAATAAGTTGAAGTTATTAATTTAAATGAAATTAATTTAAGTTAATCTGATATATCTAATGAAGAAAATACTAATGAAAATTATTTATCAACTTTTGAAATTGACTTTTAAAATTTATACCATAATTTAGCAAAGAATAAAGATAAATTAAGTGAAAATGAATCTATTTATAAAGATATACTCTATTAATCTCTCTTTTATCAAAATGAATAATACTATTATGAATTAAATAATACATTAAATTTTTAAAGTTTATCTAAATTACAATAAGCATAGATTATTATTTTAAATGCTTTTAGTACAATCAAGACAATGAAAGATGATTCATGGGAAGTCAAATCTTAAGAATTATCATAATGTATAGAAAAAGCAATACTTATAGTGAATAGTATTAATGAAGATAGTTATGATAATTTTCATATTTCTATCTTATTTCAAATTTTATCAATATCACAAAGAAAACCTTTAGTTATATTGAATTAATTATAAAGATGTATGACAAGATAACTTGAATTGAAATAAAAATTGAATAATAGATTAAGAGGTAAAAATTCAGCTAAAGGATTGATTGAATAAAAGAAGTATGTTATGGTATAAACAATGTATGCTCAATCTTATTTAAATTCTAATCATTATTTTGAGGCAATTACAAAAATCTAAAAAATAGTAGGTTTTTAATTGAAGAATTTTCATACTGCTTCTTTATTATATGGATATTCATTAATGATAAGTGGAGAGATTGCTAGATTGAGTTCTTAACCTATTTCTGCTATGCTTAATTTAGAAATGAGTTTAACTATTTACAATTAATACTTTCCAGAATCTATTATATAATAAACTCCATAAGATGAATATATTTAATAATAGAAATAAAAAAAGGAAGCTGATTAATAATGTATTTAATAAGAAATTCCATAATATTTGAAAGAAAGAAAATTTGAAAATCTATCTACAAGTAATTTGGCTAAAGTAGAATTTCTACTTGGAATGAGTTATTTTGATTCTCATGATTAAGATAATGCTTTGAAAAGTTTGAGAAGAGCATAGAAATTAATGATGAGATCATATGGTATATTTGCAGATGAAGTTATTGAATTAGTTTTATATCAACTCAATATTTATGTATTGCAAGATGATGTTGGTGCTGTTATGAAAATTGCAATGAAATATTCATCTGAAATGAATAAATAATACAAATTGGGTAAATAATTTAGAAGAAAATGTATTGCTAAATTGTAATTTATTATTGGATGTATATTTCAATTTTGTGGATCCTATTTAAGTGCATTAAGATTTATAGAAAGATCAAATAGAACTTTAACTAATGCAAAACTCAATAATTTTATAATCTAATCACATTATTAAGCAAAAAAGATGAATATCATTGAATAAGTAAAAAGAGCCTTTCATAAAATTAAAAGTAAATAATAATTAAGAGGATAATTGGATTTAAATTAATTTTAAAGTCTAAATGAAGTATTGGGTTCATCATTTTAAAATTAATTCTTTTGTTAACCTACTAAATATCATGCTTCTATTCTCTTTAAAAAATATAGCAAATATATCTTATAAGTTTAAGGTTTGATTAGAATAGGTGAGAATGATAAAGCCATTCATTAAATAGAAGAATTATTAAAATAAGCATCAAAGATAAAAAAGGATGAATTATATGCTTATATGAAGGATAAATTAATTTTAATAACAATAGAATCTACTTAAACAAAAGATTAAATTTTGAATATTTAGAGATTAATAGAAATTCATGATAGATATTTACAATTTCCATTTAAATAAATTTATAAATTAAGATCTTATATCATTTTGATAAGTTTATATGCAATGATAAAGGATCTTAAAAAATTTAATGAAACTTAATCTTAAATTGATGATTTCATTTAAGATATTTATTAAATATTTAATTGGTAAGTAGCAGCACCTATAGATAATACTGTTAATTAAGGTAAATTTGAAAGATTAAAGAATAGAAATAAAGTAAAAATATTATTTTAAATTTAATAAATAATGGATTTAATATAATATTTTTATACTATAAGAAAGAAATTATTTGATGCATTTGATAATTAATAATAATTAAAAGATATTGGAAGTTAAGTTCTTAAACGATTAACTGGATAAACAAAACCTATTTTTTAAAAATATTTTGATAAAAAATAAGAATGTTTATATGGTATATAATCCAAAGTTAAAATTAAAAATATAGAAAAAGAAATTGATATCTAAAAATTAAATGAAAATCAATAATAAACTAAGATTGAAATTCATTAATAGCCTGAATAAGTTGATGATTAATAAAATCATAAATTAGTATTTGATTTAAGAAGTTATGAAGAGATTGTGTAATCTCGAAATAATAAGAGAAAATCATCTCGTCATTAAAAATAATAATCTTAAGAACTATAAATAGAAAAAAAAGAAATATCTGAAATTAAAGAAATCAAAGAATCAAAACATAAAAGAAATGTTACTGAAATTACAGCAGCAACATTAAATAAAAATAAGAAGAAATAGGCTTATAAATTAAATCCTTTTGAAACCACAACTAAAAATTCTAAGAGATGAATTTTATATATAATTTTCTTATCTTTTAAGTATATTGAATATGATTAAAGAGTATCTTAAAGATTTATCACAATTCTATTTTATTTATTTAATATAACTTATTTTTATAAAAATATCTCATAATTATTATGATTAATTTGAGTTTGTCATATTTTTCTAAATTTTAGTTCTATCTATAAGTCTTTTAATAAATTTAAAACACATTTTCAGTATTTAATTAACAGAAATTAATTTAATAGTAATATTTGAACAAAAAATTCAATAACTGATTATAATTATTATATATAAAAAATTAATATATTTTCTTACCTAATTTAATTTTGGCTAAAATATGATCTCTATTATTATTATGAGTAAAATTATTCTAAAACTATTCCAAATGTGCTTTTACAGAAATTTACTATTTCAATTATTTTTTCTCATTATCTCTAATTTTGAAGGTCTTATAAAGTGATGTTTCATTCTTTTTATTATTAATTAAAAGAGTATACTATATACTATAATTTTATGATTTTTCAATTAATGAGTGTAATGAAGGGATAATGTGTCTTAAATGAATACTTTACAAGAATTAAGAAATGTTCTGAATTACAGTCAATTACTCATATTTATTCTTTGTTATTATCGAATTATTCTGATCTCATTAAGTGATTTGTTATCAAAAAAATTTTAATGGAATGTAATTTCTATATTTAAAATTTACCTTACGTTCATTTGTCAATTTACAAAAGGGATAAGAAATAATACTAAATCAACCTGTAATTGAGTTTAAAAAATTACAGACTACAAACAAAATAAAATATATAGTTAACAATTTCATTATGGTATAGATGTTAAAATATATTAGGAATCATTTCGAATTTCATATTAAAACAGTATTTTAGAAGTGATTTAGTTTCCTCCAACGCTAGATATTATTGTTATTGAGCTTTTGGACTAAATTATGGGAACTATTTGGCATTAATTTTATTTTGTGATGTTGACTTTCTATTTGATGACATTTTTTCTGTGATAAATAATGATTGATTTGGCTGCTGGATACTTGATATTGAGTCTTTTAGCTGCCTTTAAGATTTTTGAATGAATATATTACATGTTTTATTTTAAAACCCTTTATAAATACCAATTGTATGAGAGAGTTTCTTAAAGATGCGGGTACTTTTTCATATGGTCTGCAAGCAATAAAATATTATTTCATTAAATATTAAATTCCTCTTTAGATATTTCAATATTTTGAATATCTCAGGTTATACCTAAATAGAAGAATTGAATCTTCCAAAGAACATTGATTTATTATAAATTATCTGTTATATATGAAATTGCCACTCTATTTTTACAAAATCTGTTAAAATTTACCAAATTGAGGGCTATATATAAAATTGTCATGATCAAAACATACATACTATAATTTATTAAGTATATAATTTTTTATTATTTTCAGTAATTTTTATATAAAAAATTAATTTTATAAATAAACTCTGTAAAAATATGTAAACTCTTGTATTCTGATTTTTGAATAATAAATATCTAAAATAAACCAAAACTAAAACTATGTTAAGAACTATTTGTAAATTATTCAATTTCTAAATTGAATGTATTAAATTAATTGTAAATATATATACACCAAGGATTAATTAGATGTCTTTAACTAAAGAATACCTTTATGATATTTTATATTATTTTTTTATTATTTATTATACTTTAATTATCATACTCTTAACCCTATATTGTATAAGATTCCTCTGATAAATTTAAATATTTCAGCTTCTAATATTTAGATATTTTTCTATTTAATCATTAAGAATCTGTAAATTAAATCAATAAAAGTACATCCAGATTGTTTTTATGAATAATTTTCATAAGATTAGCTTTATTTTATTTATTTATTTCTAATAAATTTAAGTGAAGTTTGTATTAATTATTGATTTATTAATATTTAATTTTTTTAAGAATAAAGTTTTTACTCTAGTTAAAGATAATACAATCTGTTTTATCATCCAATTAACTTAGTTTAATGGAATTTAAATTTGAGAGACATAAATTATGAATGTGAAATTTCTTTAATAATTTATTTTTTATTTTATAAACTTTTAATTGTAACATTTAATAATGATTAATTTATATTCATATATTAATTAATAAATGAAAATGATTAAATAATTTTTTTTTTCTCATTATCTCTCAAAAAAGCCCTATCTTTTATTTCCTAAAATTATAAATTAATATATATGTTTCTCTTGGGTTTAAAGAGAATTAATATCAAATAATAGAAATTATTACTGTTTAGTATCAATAATTGAATATTTTCTTGCTTTTAATGCTTAGAATCTATTGTGTCCTATAATTATTACAACTTAATGAATTTTAAATCATTTCTTTGAAAAAAGACTCCAAAATTAAGAAAATTGGTTATTATAAAAAGCAGAGGAATTTTCTGAATTGATTTAAATTGAAGGTAATTTTCTTTGGTTTGACTAATTAAAATTGGAATTGAGACATGCAATATATAAAATAGACAACCTATCAAATTTAAACTCATTATTTTGAAATGTATAAGAAAATACATAGTTGGTTGATTTTAGAAATTGTACATATATAAAATAACTTAGAAATAAAATCATTCTTAAGTGATTGTGGGATATTCATAGTAGGTTTGTCTAACTACATCTCCTCCTAATTTTGATACAATATTTAGTTTGCACTTTTATGATGAAAGTGGTACAATCTAACATTCTGATTTGGAATTGATTTAATTTTTGGACCTCATAACATTTTCCCTGTAGTAAATTATATAAGTTTTGGCAGCTGCATATTTGATATTTAATTTTTTGGCTGCCTATAGAGAATTTTTATATAAAAATACTGCCTTTATCTTAAAGCCTAAATGGCAAACTAATTACAATAGTTTTTTTTTCTATTCATCAGATATCTTTTAATAGGTTCGAGAATATTTAATATTTTCCTTCATTTTATATTCTTTAGGATTTAAATAAAATTTAATTTTTAGCTACATGATTATTAATTATCAGTTATAATATCCATTAAAATCTCAATTTAAAAAAGGAGAATTAATAAATTATTATATTATACTTTTTCTAAGAATTGAAATAATTTTCTTTAATTTAAAACATATCATTTGTGAAGCCTTTATTATTTTTACATTTGATTTTAAGAATTATATTAAATTTTTGAGATTTCTTTGATTTATACCTTTTAAGAATATTTAAAGGACAGAAATATTATGTGTTTTAGAAATTAGTTTAGAGAATAATATGATATTTATGATTTAATTAATGAAATATGTAAATTAATAAGATTTATGAACGAAATATATTTCATCATAATAAATATATATATATTTATTTTAATAATTCATAATTTGTTTTTGTAAATAGCTAATCCTTTGGCTCTTAATTCTTATTCCCATTCACGTGCTTCTTTTTCATAAAGATCTTTGAGCATACAATTTCTTCTTTTCTTCAATTCTTAATAAGCATTTTCTACTTCTTTAGAATAGCTACACATATTAACAGATTGCACGTTACACTTTATTCATGAATTTTAATTCATTAACTTTATCATATTTAGATTTTGATTCATGCCACCATGTATTTCTGCTGATTGATTTCAAGTTCTAATCATACCTTTCTGCTTCTGTATATTATTAATTTAATTGAATATTCCTTTTTATTTATTGCATTATTTGTTATATAAATTAATAATTTAATAGTCATATTTTTTCCAACTAAATCCACAAAATTTAATCACCTATTGACCATTACAATCCTTTCTTTCTATATTATTGAGTTTGAACTTCAAAGAACTCTCCTAATTTATTTGTACATTCCTATTCAAGATCAATTAATTTAGGTGATTTTGTTATACTAATAATAACAACAATAATTGATATTAGTGTAGGTAAAACAATGAAAATAGTACCAAGCAATGTCAATGTTGATTTAACATCTTCATATGAAAAACCCAAAACAAACAATATGACTCCAACAATGAATAAAACCCATGAAGATGTAACTGAGATAGATCATATTGAAATACCATAAAATTTTTCAGTTTCTAAAGGATCACTTTCTTCAATTCTACTTTTTTCACATCTAATTTTTTAACAAATGCGATTAGCTTAGAATACAGTTTCAGCAATTGAATCTTCAGATACTGGCATATATGGCAATTTTGCAGGTAAAGAAAAGCCTAATTTATCAGAATAGACAGGGACAATAAGGATATCTAGAGATGAATTAGGAATACGTGAACGATCAATTTTTTATTTGATTATATTTATAAATTATCTTAATCAAGAATATTTGACAACAGCAAGTTTGTATACTTAAATAGTTTTTTTATCTTATTAAGTAAGTTTCTTGATTTTCATAAAAAATCTATTTCAGTATCGTAATAGCACTTAACCACTTTATAATTTATATACATAAAAAATCAGTTATTTAATTATTTAATTTAAATCATTTCTATTTCAAAGAGAATAGAATTTAAACTTTAATTTTAAGATATTTGTTGAATTATACTATCAAGAAATGAGATTTAATAATTGTTAATTTATTGAAGTAAATATATAAAATTATACAAAAGGTTTTCTCATTTACAAAAATTCAGTCATGTCTTTTTATTATTATTTAATTGTGTATCAATAATTCAATTAATGCATCATTCTTTTAGCAATTAAATTAAACAATCTAATATGATCATAATCAATATTATTGTTAGCCTGTTAAACTTAAAAACTAATTAAATACACTAAATTATTTATTAATGAAGATCTTTAATTCATTTATATATTCCTTAAAAAAATAGAATGTATAAATTAATATTTTATTAATAGGATAAAACTATACTACATATTAAAATTCATAACAAAATAACAAGATTAGATTAATTTAATTTTGGATATACATCTATATTTTCTATTTAATTAGACTGTAGAAGTTAAATTCAATTGATTTTGATGATCATTATTAGAATAGAGAATGGAACCATTAATAAACATCAAAAGAAGGAAATTATTCAATCAATAGTTATCAAATTAAATATAATTCAACAACTTTGTTTCAGCTTTGGTTATGATAATCGACTAATGAGACTTCTTTGAGATTATTAAGTTCTCTTAAACTTTTCTCTAGCAAGTGGTGGTAATTCATATCTGTATTTTGGACTGGAGAAGAATTGATCAGAACTTCTAAGCATTCTTTTATAATTTTGCAAAGGAGAGTACTTCTCTTACACATTTAATCTATATACAAGAAATCATTCATACAACACATATGTATCTCTTCCAGTTCCATCACATTAATAGAATAATCTTTAAGGTACTTCATAAGCTCTGGAAGCAGGACTTGGCATCATATTCATTCCGGTTCTGTTTTAATGGACAGTTAGAAATCTGAATTCAGTTCCAAAGTTGCCACCATTATTATAAGAGATATATGTATCCCTTCCAAATCCATCATTATTATAAGAAGTTGGATTTTTTTCAGGTTTTGATCCTTTATTTAAGATGGGTTATTTCATAAAATTTAATTAATAAGTAACAAATAAGTGTATAAAATTTCAGTTTTAAGCAATTATTCCTACTACTTTAACAGTCTGTTCATCAATCTACACTATCTGAAGTATAGCCTTGATTAACTAATTCATAATAATAATAATAATAATTACACTCCTGCAAATGGGACACTCTTTGTTTTATTCAAACCATAAAGTAGCACATTCTGTACACATTCCCCCATGACCACATGGCATATAGACAACACTACCTTATCTTTGGATACAATTAAAACATTGTTTAATTGTAGGTTCTTAAACAGCTACTTCAGTGATTGTAGCTTATTTATTTGAAATAATATTGACTTCAGTTTGATGTCTTCTTATAACATATTCATCAGGTAAATAATAAGTGCTTGAAATCTTTACCATTTATGTTGGATATTATAAAAGATTATTCTTTTGTGAATTTTCTTTTAATGAGTATACATATTTTTGTTAACTTCTTGAAGATGAGAAACTAAGTACATGTCTATCCTAATTAAGATATTCATTAAATTGATCAAAATAGTTTAAATTCAAAATGAATTATATCAATACTTCTTTGTTATATATTGTGTACACAATATACATTACTGTATAAGACACACTTAAAATTATTGCTAGTAAATAATCTTATTATCCTTAATCATTATCCAAATAAACACACAAATTAACCATTGTGTAACTTGGTACTCCTGCAAAACAAAACAAAAACATACAAATCCAAAATTGACCAATTATATTATTTCCAAACTGCATCTTTATTTCAAGATTACTACTAGTAAAGTATTTATTAGTTTAAACAGATAATCTATATAGAAATATTATTTCCAAAAATATAGTTATTAACAAAAATAACCATATAATTATAAATGCATATAACCAATTAATAGATAACCAATCAATTCGTTTTAGATTTATTAGAGTTATCTGTATTATAAAACACAACTTTGCGAACACACTCACCTATATAAATTCCTGTTTCATACCAATTGATATTAGTATTTATCAGATTTTCTTTAATGCAATTGTACTCCACTATAAAACATCCAAATAGCATTGTAAATACATAATATCATTCCTAGATATTGTATTTAAAAGGTCTGATATTCAATAAAGTATATTAAACAACTCTACTTTTATATTTATTGATTACATAATAAGATATTAGACCAATATTCCAAGTTAAATCAAAACAGCAATCAAAATCAGTTTTAGCCCTTCTTTTTTTACTCAATGTTTTACGTTTAATGATGAACTATGCATATTTTAATCAAATAAATTAAATGCACAATGCTTAAGAAGAGTAAAGGAATTCTAAAACTCAAACCAAAAGTAAATGATGCCATAAACAAAGAAAGAAATGAATTAAACAATATTACTATAAATAAAGCCTAATTATATCTTTATTTACTGATGTTAACCAAGTGTAAGCTATTTACAAACTGATCAGTGCATCTTAATTGCTCACTTGACCATCCAATTATAACTCCCAATTATTTTGTCTTGATTATTAATTCATTATATATATATATATATTAATAATAGAATTGACAAAACAAAGTATCTCTAGTATTACATTATACTCAATTTCATTAAAATAATTGATAAACTTACCAAACTCAGAATCCTTCAAGACTTTTTATCATATTATAAATTAATAAATTCTAAAATTCATATATATATATCGTTATTAAATTTTGAATTTAAATAATAATAATAATAAAATTTACATGAATAATTCTCCCTACATTGTGAAAAGGAAACAAAGAAGAGGTGATTGGGTTTGTGGGATTTGTAAAAATCTTAATTTTTCATTCAGAAGCACATGTAAGATTCATAATTATAATTATTTTAGGTAATAGATGTAATAAACTTCCCAATAAAATATCACTAAAACACTAATATAAAGGGTTTTAAAAATTGGTTCTTATCCAATATGAAGAACCAATAGAAAGTATGGAAGAACTTCTTGAAAATCAAATTGATCCAAATGTCACATCAAGCCTTTTGGTATTGGGCTTAGACAAATTTTGAATTTGTAATTTTTTTTTATTTTCTTTAATAAATTTTCCAACTTATGTAATTTCAGTATAATATCATCTTTTTGATTTAATCTATTATTAATAGAGGAAATTAAAAATTGATAACAATAATAAATTGATATAAAAAAGTAATTTTGTATGTAAAATTGATTTATCTAATTTTTTTGAATGTTATTTATATATATGAAAAAAAAGATGTTGAATATAAATTTAATTTATATTTGATCAATTTAAAAATAAAGATAATGATTCTTTATATATTAAAAGGATATTATTAAAAATACTTAGAAATATATTTATTTAATTATTATAATCATAAATTTGATCTACAGATTAATCAATTTTAGTCTAAAATCAACGGATATACTTTAGTTTCATAATGCTCTTATCCCTTTGAACCTGGGTGATCCTCATTTAAAAGTTTTTCATCTTTTCTTTTCTATAAATTAATTAAAATTACAAATTTTATAAGGAATTTGCTGTTTTGTATTACATAAAGACATTATAGAAATTATCTAGTTCCTTTAGGCTGACAACACCAGAGTCCTATTATTTTTTAATTGTTTCTTTAAATTGTATAATATTTTTAACCTACTTCATTAAGTTTACTTTAATTTTCTTAAATCTTTCAATTACTTTAGTTCTCTGTTATTAACGATTTGCAAGCAATCTATTTAGAAATTTATAATTTGTAGTCCAAGGAGCTTTTAATCTTATAAGATCTCTAGCTTTATCTAATTACAATTCCAATTCTTTTCCATAGGCTTTTAATAATTCCTTCAATAAAAGGAATAAATAATAAATATTGAATGAAGCAAGAAGTATAAAATAAGGAATTTAAATTTCTAAAGATCCAATTTACTAATCTATATAGATTCCAATTCCTAAAGCAATTGAGATTGAGCAAACATTGGCTGAATAAGAATCTAATTTATTTAGATTAGGAGATGAATATGGTTTAAATTTGATATTTAATTCTTAATAAACATAAATAACAAATAAAACAAGTATGCCTTTCTTAACTATATATTCATCATAATATGATAAGAATATAATGAGTAATTCTTTTTCTAAGATTTTAACAATCTCCCAAAAGTATGCTTAATGAGTATATTCATTATACAAATAACCCCATTGTTGTCTTACTAATTTATCATCCAATCTTTTTCTATTGAAGTAAATAGCAAAGTAAAAAATTGCTGGGATCATAAAAGCTATTATAAGAAAACTAGGTAAACAGAATCCCAAAAGCCATTTAAAATGCATCCAAGTATCATACCTAAATGCTACATTGGCAGATATCCATTTAAAACTAGAGATTGTTCTAAAAGATATCAACTAAATAAAACCACCCACCAAGTTAGGTTATAAGAATATGTACATGTAAATGAAAGTAGTTGTGATTACACTTAAATTATATGTCTATTTCCTGATTTTGAGTTGTATTAAATAAATTGATAGAAATAAAAAGATGTAAATTAATGGCATAATCATCTACCAAACCATTCTTGAATAATGAATGTTAAAGTCAAACATATCAATTAGAAAACAATCAAGTGAAAATGCCATAGTTTACATTGGATTACCTGATGCCTTAATTGCATCACTAACTCCACTTGACATGTTTATTTAAAATGTAGTAATTGTTGATAGAATTTAAAGATGATTTGTCAACATTTTAATTAATACACCAGATTAATCCTCTTACATATGAGAAAATGCTCTATTTTATCCAATTCTAACTTTAATTGCCACTCTTTTTAATAGTTCTACAGTACTTTTAACAGAAATCAAGATAGATATTAATGTCCTATATAATTATTATTAAATAATACCAAAGTGTAATAGCAGTAATAATAATAGAATTTTTATTCTTTTCAGTACATGATCCACATGAATATTTTGTGCTAGTTGAAAATTATCCATCTCCTCTTAAATTATATAAATCACATTCTTCACATAATGCTCCAATATGACCTTCATAACATGAGGTATCTCCTTCTTTCCATCCTCCAAGACAATTTTCAATTAAATTGATACATTCACTTATTTCATTAGTATAAAAATAAGGTCTCCAATATCCAGCTTTTAATTTTAATTAGGCTGATTTAATGTCACTTGTAGTAGCATCATCCTTGTATAGACATGTATTTGAATTAATACCAAGAGAATATTAACCTTATTCAACATTGCAAGGTACACAAGTAGAATCTACTAAACTTTTGATTTCTCCCATTTAACAAGGTAATGTTTTAAGATTGATTCTTAAATAATAATTATTGTGATAACTAACAATTTCTTTATTCTGATCATAAATTGGTATATAAATAGAATTACATTAAAATTACAATTATAAAGTTTTATTAAGTTGATCATCTAAATAGATAATTAAATTATCTAAATTATAATCGCTTTTATTGAATTCTATTCTTTTTATATTAGTAAAATTCTAAGTGAATTCATTCTCACCACTTTCCATAAGTAATCTTCCACTAATATCACAGTAAGTACTCTCTAAATCTTATTAAATTGAATTCAATTTATCTAATGCAACTATTCTAAAATGTAAATTATAAGGCACATATTCACCTTTATTCCAATCAAAGTATTAATATTAAGATATTTGTTATCCATTAGGTACATAAAATGCATCTGAATATTCATTTGTAAATACTTAATATGGTTTTATTAAAATCTATTAAATTAATAGATTTTCTTATTCTAATACTGTAAATCTAGGTAGAATATCTATTAAATTAATAGTAATTGATAATTAAGATGGAACTTAAGAAGAATCATTACCAAATAATTCAGCTTTATTATTTGCAACAATAGATCCAAATCTAGTCATATTTTAACTCATTTAATCTTCTATTTCTAATCCTCCTCCATATTTTGCAGTATTGTTATAAATGAGACTTTGAACAAGATAAAATATTTCATTACCAATAACTTTAATTGATCCTCCAGAAGCATTTGCATAATTATGTTCAAATATAGATTGTTAAATTAAAGTCTTAATATTTTTAATCTACAAGCAAGTACCTTCATATGCTTAATTGTATTTACATAAATAATCATTTATTTTAAGATCAAATTATTTTTCATTTACTTATGAAACTAAATTATAAAGCAAACGTTATAAGGTAGACAATTTAATTACATTAACACAACTTGATTTACCACAACTATTTTATTTAAGTTTTAATGATTATATTAATAAAAATGAATGAGTATCTATAAAATTTACATTTATTAAACCATTCTAACATATAGTACAATTGATTTCTGATAAAGTTACCTAAGAAATACTCATATTTGTATAAGAAGGATGAATGTCAATAACACTTAATAATATTTGTTATTACAATTATTTCATCTAATTAATAATGCAGTAAGCATTTGATAATGATTTACTATCATATTTTTGATTTAATTTAATGGGTGATTTTTTGATATCTGATAAACATTTATATTATGAATTAAATTTCATTAGTATTTTTAAACAATTTTATTCTATTCCAATTTTATCTAGTATTGTTATATTTTCAATTTAAATATTATTAATGAAAATCATAGAATTCTCTTTCATATCATTTAAGACTATAATTCTATTAAGGAAATTTGATCTTGAAATTAATACAGAATAAATCTAAACAGCTGTAATATTTTATAAATATAAAAATGATTCAAAATTAATATCTGAAATAATTAAATTCTCCATTTAAAATGTTTTGGCATTATAAATTAAAATCTAAAATCTTTAATAATGTAAAGCTATTATTTAAGATTCACTTGCCATATTAAACTTATTGAAAAATTGTAATTAACCTTCTAAACTATTAGAAATTTTAGCAGTAATTAATCTTAAATTCTATGATTAAGATGTAAGAGGAGAGAATTCTGAAAATATAATGGATCCAAATAGAGCAAATACATCTTTAAATTAAGTATTAAGTAATGTAATCTAAATAGTACTTAATCCATTTAACAGATATATAAATCCTCCTTTATTACTACAATATATATTATTTGCTTTCACATTAGTAATTGTTATTGTAGTTGAAACTGAATTGGAAGTATCTAAATATATAGCACCTCCATTTTCAGTTTCTGATAAAAAATGAGTACTAATAAAACTGAATACTGAATTGGCAATCAATAATTTGGCATCATTCTCCATTCTTATATATAATCCAGAACCAGATGAATTTGATATTAGAACATTTTCAATTTCTAAATCTGAACTTATCAATTTTGCATTTCCTGTTGTAACAAAAATTGGAAAAATTTCCATTATTTATTCTAGAAATACTTCTTCACCATTATTATATCCCCATATTAAATAAGGTTATAAAATGCTATAATCAAATATACAATTAGAAATGAAATTAGAATTCTTAATTGTAATTTTCTTTGATTTTATATAAATTATGTTATCTGTGGTATTTGTAACTAAATTTGATTCAGCTATTACATTTTCCATATTAATTGTACAATAAGGACAATCAAAATTTAATAATAATCCAGAGTTTATTAGATCATTTTATCTATATTGATGCATAATATTCTTTTTAAATATGGAGTCTATAATTTCAATATTAAATTCTTATTATGTTGTTAATTAAATAAGTGAGATTTATTTCATTTAATTAGTTATTAAGAGTAAATTATTCATAAGATTTAAATCAGATAGTTTTATAGAATTATTATTGGTTTTTTTAGATATTGATGTTTAAATATTAATAATGGGATAATCGATTGATTCTGCAGTAGAAATAGTTAATGATTTGAATTCTATGCTTTTAGTATCATATATATAAACAGAAGTACCATAATGTTAAAGTTTTAAACAATCTATATATAGATGTAATCCTTAAAATAAAGATGCAGTATATTGTTTAATTGTTGTTTTATTTATTATTAATGAATTGATTCCAGTGATACTAAATTCTTTGATTCCATTTGCTCTCTCTATATTAAGTGATATAATTTCTATTTGTTCTAATAATAGATATATTAATGTAATTTCTTATTATTCTAATTATTTAATGTTTGATAAGAATGTTAATTGATTACCTATTACTTAAATATCATTAATAATGATATGTCTATTAGGAGATAGATTTTATTAGATTTAAATAAATTTGGAATCTTCATCATAAGAATTTAATTCAAAATTAAAATATTAAAAATAATATTATTCTACATTAACTCTTTAATTTTGTATTATTATTGAATTTTTCAATAATTAATTTTGATTAAATCTTAAATTTGATATATGAGAATTTTAATTTAAACTTAAGATTGTAGATGTTATAATAATAGTTTAAGAGATTTCGAATTAATTAATTTGAATTTGATTTAAGGATTCTAAATTAAATAAATTAACTACTTAATTTAACTCACTATTGTATATATTAATATTATCCATAATTAATTAACCAAATTATATATTTAATAATTGAGTAGATATGAATTTAGAATTAATTTAGATATTTCTTATTTCTACTTAAACTTAAGTATTTGTATTTAACATAAATAGAATTGTATTCTTAAATTAACATTGTATTAAGTTGATATTTGATATTTGAATATTTTGATTTAATTTAATAGATTCTATTTTGATAAAAGAATCAATATTATTAATATTTAAATTAGATGATTCAAATTAATCAATAATTATATTTTAAGCATTCTAAATAATAATTTAAGATCTATCTTATTATATTGAACAATCATAAATGATATTAATTAATTAAATACTTTATAGAAATGCACTTTAAAATAAAAGTTATTTGATATTTCCAGTTTGAGTAGGATTTAATTTAATACCATCAAATTAGACATTTTTAAAATTGATAATAGATATACTTCTTTCATATTGAAATGTTGTAAATCCATTTCCTTAGATTAATAATTCAACATTACTTAAATATTAAATAATAATACATGGCAGAAAAGATATTCTAACTGAATTTTTATTGAATACTCTTATTACCAGTTATAATACAAACTTGACTTTCTTGACTTACAATCTTAATTGAAATATTTTAAATAACTTTTTGATTAGCCATCAAATAAAATTATTGAGTTTCAAACTATTTTAATATTTATAAATATATATACTTCTTTAAAACTAGATGATGAAAATAAATCAGTAATTAATATATTCGATTATTTAAACTAAATTATTTATTCCTCTTAATCTAATTCCATTAATGCTCTATTGTATTTATCATTATCACAAAATAAATTTAAATTAATTTCCATCTTCTTTATACATAAATTTGATACACAATCTACATATATACCCAAAGATTAATCAAATATTCCCATATATCCCCTTAAACATTAATTTGATGAGTATGAAAACTCTTGACTATCAAATAATGGATTAATTTAGGCAATTTCTTATTAATTTCTTTAACGACACAATGAACAATTAATAGGACAAATAATACATTGATTGTTATCTATACTTAAATTTCTTCCTTTAATTGTATTTGGACATTTAATACAAACATTAACATTATTTATTAATTCACATTCAAGACAATTCTCAGGACACTTTAGTATACATTAATTATTTTATAATTCATATCCTGATTAACAATTTGAACATACAATTTCATAATCTTCCTTATTTGGACTTGTTCCATGTTCAATAAATGAATGAGTTTAAAAGTTATCATCTATTTAAATTTTATAAAATGGACGAATCTCAGTCTTCCAATCATCTTTTGAGTATTTATTTTATTAATAACACTTTTAACAAAATAGATCTTATGGACATGGTTCACATTATCCTGTAAGTTTATTAGCAAAATATCCATCTTCACATGTTAAACATAGATAAGAGATTTCACCATTTGTCTAACCAAACATACATAATTAACAATTTTAATTAAATCCAGAGCATTATTAAGTAAATGATATAGGACCTTGATCAAAGGATGAACTTGGATCAATATCTAGTGTTCTAGGTCCATATAAACATGCCCATGATATGAAATCATCTGGTGTGTAAATACAATAATCACATTCAGGATACTCTGTAAATTCACAAGTATTAGTATTTACATTATAACAATATATTGTATCACATTTAGCACATTTAGTAATAACCTCTCCAAAATAAGGTACAAAGTCATAATCAAATGAATTAATTTCTTTATTATCTACAGATGATTCAAATGCAATTATACAGTTTTCAATTGTATTTTCAATGCAATCAACTGCATTTAATGATAAATAATACTTATAATCATCTACACATTTTAAACATTTCAAAAATGGTTAATTAATTAAATAGTTCATTTATTATTAACAAATAGAACAATTTAATCCACATTTTAAACATTATGCACCTACTGGTTCATATGTTGATGGACATGAAGTACATTAAAGATTTTCATTTTCCATTTTACAAGTTAAACATAAATTTGGACATAATTCACATTATTAATCTCTAGATAGGTAATATCCATCTTTACATTTCTCACATATAAATTATTATTATTAATAATTAGTTATTAAACATGCATAGTTTGAAAATGTACACTAATTATTTTAGAAGTAATGATTTTATTTACAAATTACATATACATCATTAGATAAATGAGTTTAAAAAGCAATTTAAAAACAATTAGGTAATTCATCTTCATTATTACAAAAATCTTATGCTCCTTAAATCAATTCCAAATTATTATCTTAATTAATCACATATAGATCGTAATCTAAAGGTGATCTTAATGATTTCCTATATGCATCTTCATTAATTTATCTTTATTATGTAATATAATCAGTTGTACATATTGGATTTAAATACCAACTTGTAGAATTGAATAAACAATCAACACACAAGAGATCTAAAGTAGATTATTAAGGACTATGAGATTTATATAGAAAATTACCATTTAATGCAACTTTGGATTTGAGGAAGCATAAAATATCCAAATTAACATGTTTAAATCTATGGATCTTAAATAATATCATAATAATTTAATGTTGGATATATTGTACTGAATTATAAACATATTTTGTCTTTTTCCAAATATTCATTTTTACAAATACATTCATGTTTATCTTCTATAAATATTCTATTTTAAATATCAGAACATGTAATACAATTATTTTCTAAGGGTCCATTACAAGTAGAACATGTATAATGGCATTCTAATAATGATAATATTAAATTACAATAAGTGAAATCTTTATCTGTATCATAATTATATGTAAATTTAAAGTGTGAAAGTTATCCCTTTAATTTTCTTACATTTGTCATATCACTACCAAAAATAGCATAATATTTAGTATTAATGAATACTCCTTAATTAGGATAATTTCCAAATGAATCTTAATCCATATCAAGATTTCCTGCAAAGTATTTTATTGTTAATAAAGTCTTTGGTCCTGATGTTCTACCATATTCAAATTATATATAATGCCATGATGTTAGAGCATCCAAATATATATAAGGAAATTCATCAATAAAAACCCATGAATAAATTCTTGTATCTGGTATGACATTTTATTATCTAACAGGAATAACATAATGAATAGAATCAACAAAATAACCAGAATATTTAGGGTTTATTCTATTCAATTAGGCACTTATCTTCAATATTTCATCACCCATATTTAAATAATTACCATAATTTTAATTTGTTGTTAATCGAAGCAGCAAATATTAAATTGTTTATACTGCATCTATAGAATCATACTTTACCCATCCAGATATACAAAATCTTTTACCTACCTAATCAATAATAAATATTTATTATGAATCTCCTGTGAATGTAAATAATTATGGAAATAATTCTACTGTTTATTCTCCTATTACTTCTTGTGGTATTTAACAATTAGTTTCCACTTCCTCAAATTTTTATTCTGAATAATCTGTAAATTACATCAACTTTGATAATCTCCCTCTAAATATTCCTACTGTAAATACATCTATCTATAAATAATACAATTATATTTTTTACATATCCAGTTCCTCCTATTATAAATTTTACTTTATTTAATTCTTGTAATATATCTCCAATATTATTATTTGTGACATAATTACTTGTCTAGAAAATCACTGATTTTTATTGAATTGTTATCATTGTTAATAACCAAGTACCTTCATATTCTTTTGGATCATATTCAAAGCTATAAGTACTAAACCCTGGCCAACCCCAATCATCTACCTTTTCAACTCTTAATCTATGAATAACTGAATCCCCATCATCATCAAGTACTGCATACATGAACATCACTACTCTATCATCATCAAGAGACTTCAACAAAAACATCAATTAATATCGTCTTGTATCTGAAGTCGCTAATTATTCTACTTGTGGGTAACTTTTCACCTTCCATAGAGGAATAGAAAAGCTCCAAAATGCAAATGTCTAAGAAGGGCTTACCTAATCAATAATTGTCTCTTGTATTGGATAGTATTCACTAAGTAATGAATCTTCATAATTATAAAATGGGCAACAAGACCCTAATCCTAGAAACAAGATAAATGAAAGAATAATTCTGAATGTGAATCTACTGAGATTTTATGAATTCATTACAATTTCTAAACTAATTATTTAATTAATTATTGAAGAAATGATATGAGCTAAGTTAAATAATAAAATTTCCATTAGTAAAAATTTATTTGGCTTTCAATATGATAAGGATTACAATATATTAAAAAATTAATTTTAATTTTTCTTACACTTAAGAGTGTTTTTTATTTCATTATTCATTTTTAAGAATTTACTATTCTGTAATTAATAAATGATTATCATCTAGATTTTAATTTTTATTTAGCCTCTTAATTACATACATTAAATATTTATAAGATAATCAAAAATTCTGTTCATTTTTAAATTAAACAGTAATATTTATAAATATAAATGGATAGATAATTTGTTATTAAGATTATATGATATCTCTATATTATAAACTAAATAAATATGAAGATTATAATATTTTCATATTAATTTCATATGTATCAAAATTGTAGAAAAAGCAATTGTTAATAATTCATCTTGTAATTATAGATATTAGATATTTATATTAATCAATAGATTAATAATATCTTTTTGTAATATTTTTATATCATCTATTATTAACATTCTCGTAAAATAAAAAAAGTGTAAAAACAACATTTATTTTTATTTAATAAATATTTTCATAAAATATTGAAAGGAATATATTTTTTCATTTGTAAAATATATAAATTACATTAAATATTATAATACATAATATAAATGCCACTATTATCCTTAAATACTATATAAGTATATAAGTGAACTAAATCATATAAAAATCAACTAAATTTAGTTCAATATTAGTATGATATTAATAATAAAATTATTATTATGTATTTGATTGGATAAATAAAATGAAATTCATTATTAATATAATAATCTAATTATTTAATGCATATATTTAGAAAAACTAAAAAAAATAAAAACTTATTTATAAAACACTGTTAAATTCTTTCATTATTTTTTTTGTAAATTTTTTTTCTTTGTCTTATTCTTTTCTTCTTTAATTAATTAATCAATTTTATTCAAATGACTATTTTTATCTGGAATCTTTTCTTCTATCCTTACACCCACTTTATATGAATAAGGGTCAATATTGATTAAATGTCTTTTTCTATCATTCAATAATTGAGTTTTATCTTTTTTTAAAACTAATTAGGTGCCAATGATAGACTCATCAATAACCTCAATCTTATTATTTTAATCATCAATTAGGATGCCATCATATGAAGTAGTTAGATTGAAAAAATCAAAATTGCTATTGATATAAAAAAAGCCTTATTAAATGGAAGATTTGAATTTTTCTAAAGCTTTTTCATAATTCTTGAGCTTTTTATTGTTGTTGCTAAAAGTAAAAGCCATATATTCTTTATCACATTCAATCTCATTGAAATCTTAAAAGTTAATTATTTATCCATTATCCATCCCTGAAGCTGCTAATTTTTTTTATTTGTAATTCAATATATAAATAAAATCATTTATAAAGCAAAAAATTCTAATTCATATCAACAAACTTCTCAAATACTTAATATATGAATTTATCATACAGATCCTCTTAAATCATAGATTATTTAATGCTTTCTTTGTTGAAACTAAATGAAATGAATAAAAAATAAATACATTATCAAAATCTCTATAGTCTTAATCATTAAGCAATTTAAATATGAAAGGAACATATAATCTCTTTTGCATAACATCATCCAATTTCAAATCTTGAAAGAAAAGATGAAATTTAATTATAATTCACTCCATCAAATCCTCATCAATCTTTAAGCTTATGAGAAGATTATGATAATCATTAATCCAAAATTTTTAATTATTTTTCGATCAAATCAGAGGTAACATTTGAGATGGTAATTTGAATTCAATGTTCCTCTTAAATCTACTAAGAATCATCTATTATTGTTTTATTAATAAAAAGAGGGAATTCCTTTTAAAATTACATAAAAAAGTATGTTAAGGATTATAAATCAATAGATTGATTATGTCTCTATTGATATTATTTTGAATTATCAATTGAGTAAAATAAAATTTAAAAAATAATCATTAATAATATCTAATTCTACTACCATATTAATTAAATACAGTATCAACTCTATGTAATGTTTATTCAAGTTAAGAGTAATTTGATGAGAAATAATTATTGTATTAAAGTGTTTAATTTCTTAAATTTGATTAATACTTCTAATTTTCTAACTTATGTTGTTTGTAATGTTCTCTTAAATTTTCCATATAATCTATATTTAAATCATAAATACTTGAATCAAATAGTTGTTTTGGTCTATCTTCTCTAACCAGATCGAAACTTTTTCTATACTTCTAATGATCATAAGTTTATGGTTCTTTCTATTAAACAGAATCTGTCTTCTCATATAGATATGAATTAGAAACAAGAAATATAGGAGGAGATATAAGATTATATAATTACTTTTAAGTTAAGTAGTCTTATTTTTATTTACATTTCAAAATCTTTACTAATCCTTAGAATTCTTCATTACTAAAATGAAATCCATATTATTCAATCAGATCTCTAATTGAATCTTATGCTAAATATCCTGTTTTTTTTGTTGGATATTTAGTACTAATAACTTTCCAAATTTCATGAATATCATAATAAACCCATTAATGTAATTCATATTTTAATTAATTAAGTTCTCTTATTGAGACAATGATTCTTTCAAAAAATCTCAATATAAATTCCCTATTCCATTCTGTCATTAATTGATTTGTTGTTTCTTTAACACTTTATATAATTTGATCTTTTTATGATTATGGTAATATGAAATTGATAAATTCTTTAAAGTCAATATCATCTTCTTTAAAACAAAATGAATAAACATATTCCCATTCTTTAAATTAACAATTTACTTTGCCTTATGTAAGAAAATCATGAAATTTCTTCTTTGTAATGTAACCTCTTTTCAATTAATCAATTGATTAGAATGCTAAATGGATATCAAAATGATGATGTTGTGTTTCAGCGATTCTATAATTTTCAATCTAAGATATGGATAGTAGATTTCTACATGAATTTCCCAAGAAGCAATAGCTTTTAATAGATGTGCTAAATCTCTTTCAATTTTTTTATTATTAGTCTTAATAGTCGTTATCATAATATATTATATAAATATATTAATAGGATAACAAATGTAAGTAATAAATAATTGAAATAATATAAATTATGTATAAATTAAATACAATACAAGGACATTCATTTTTTAATTTCTAGGCTCCATTAAATTACTTTTCAAAAAGAAAACTCTTTTAACTGGCTAATGAAATAAAACCAAGAAAAAGAGATTCTCTAGGTAGAGTAATACTTTCCTCATCTCTACCAAAAGGATTCTGGTTTAGAGATTATGATTAAGTTAGAGTAGTTAATAAAAAATTAAGAGAAAATCGTCCTAATAATCATAGAATACAGAATCCCATTTATTTTAAGAGAAAAGATATTCAAGATTATTTATTACACTACACAAATAAAGCAAGTACACCTGATCCATCTAGAAAATGGAGAAAATATCGTAATTTAATATTAGAAAATAATAATCATGTTTAAATGTCAAGAGAGTAAATAAAATAAAAATTTTAAGACACTCTTAATTTATTAATTCCTAATAAATAATCATCTCCTCCAAAAAGTCAACGTGGATCATTTATGTATTCGTAATAATAATAATGTTTATTTGATATTCGAACAAGTTAACCATCCAAAATTAAACATATAAGTAGATAAGTATCAAATAGAAAAGACGATAGTGTAGGATCATTAGATAGACATTTTTAAGATATTAATTGTGAATAAAGCAATTTTAATCATTCCTATATACAAGATAAAATAATTTCATCAAATTAAATTACTCCTAGAAATAGATTCTTCAAAGATTGTTTCAGATTATATGGAATAGATTCTTAAATATAAGCACCAAAAAATAAATTGATTTTTACTGATTCTGTATAATTAGTAGAATCTTTGGAGACTAGATGTGATAAAAATGAAGGTATTTAAAGTTATCGTGAAAAATCTAATTAAAAGTAGAATAATTTATTAAATTTAATTAAGAAGTAAAGATAAAAGAATTTATAAACTAATAAGATAGTATCTCCAAAATATACTAAATTAAACACATCAAACCATAAAGATAATAAAATTGTTAATATTTATTTTCCATCTCTCAAAAAAATTAATGTAAGAGATCTTTCTTGATTGTATTTATATATATTTATATATACTTCAATATATATTATTATTAAAATATTTGTTAAATACAACAGTTAATGAAATAATAATAATATTAACAAACCTAGAGTATACGTGGTTACTCACCTGCTACAGCTCCACCAAATATTCATCCTACTCATAATAGTAATAAATATTCAATTAATTCTTAGATTTGCCTATATCAAATTAGTTTAATGAAGAAATTTAACATAGAATAAAACTAAAATATCAAGAATTAGGATTAAAACAACCTTTATATCCACAATAAACATAAATTTTATCATCTGAAAATGGTATCTATAATTTCAGAAAAGTATTTGATCCAGTAAGAGATGGTCGACCTGAATTCTTAATGGACCCAAGTAAATATATTATTATTATTGTTAGAATATATGGATCAACTAAAAGATTACAAAAATAAATATTTAGCTCCTAGTAGAAACTATGATTTATAATACAGAAATCCTTCTTTAAATATAAAAAATCATGACTTTTATTTTTAAGATTTCTATATGAATCTATATGAATAAGATAAAGAAGAGATCTTTTTTAATAAATATGGAAAAAAATTTGTTTATCAAGAATGATTTATATAAAAATATTGAATTCAACTTTTAAACATATCTAATTACAATAACTAAATGATATATTAATAATAAATACTTCTTTTGCTGTAGCTCTTTGATATGGATCAACCACAAAAATACGAGACAATAATTTTAAGATATCACGATCTTGATTTGTTATATTAGATTCATTATTTCTTATTTTCTTAAACAATTCTCTTTCATTCTCTCCTTTGAATGGGAAACTACCTTATAAGAGAGCAACTAACAGAACACCAGTAGCCCATATATCTGCTGCTCTTCCATCATATTTCAATTTAGAGACAACTTCAGGTGCCATATAACTAGGTGTACCACAATGACAAGTAATAGGTTAATTAGTAAATGTACTAAAACCAAAATCTATTAGTTTAATTCGTTTATTTTGTATAAGTATATTTTCTAATTTAATATCTCTATGACAAACATTCCTATCATGTATATAATGTAATATTTTAAGTAATTAATGAATAATATGAAGTGCTTATTCTTTCGGTATGGTTCTTGTTGAAGTTGATTTGAGTAATTGATATAGAGATTCAGTTCCACAATATTCCATAACTAAATTGATATAAGTAGTATAATGATAGACATCATATAGTTTAGTAATTTGATCATGAGATAGAATCCTGAGAGTATTAATTTCTTTGATAAGATTATTTAATCTTTCACCTTTGAGTAATGACTTATCATACATTTTGATAGCAACTTTATTACCATGACGATCAGTTCCCATTTTTACTATTGCATAGCTACCTTTTCCAATTATAGGTCCAATTGAATATATTTTATCATCACAAGTAGATGGTATTTATTTATATAGAGAATCTTAATGATTAGTGGAATCCTTAGCACTAAGATTGCCTTAGATTCTCTTTCTTTATATTTTTGAAGATAGTCTTAATTATTGTTGATTAGTGTTATTAGTTATTGTATTACATTATTGACTTTCTTTGGTACTTAGATATCGTTATTCATTGTTTGAATTCTTAGTGTTAAAGTTGTCTTCAAATTTAGCTAATTCTCTTCCTCTACTAGGAGTTCTAATTTTGAAGTAGGTAGTAAGATTGTTGAGTCTATAATTTGTTAATCTGGATGGAGGAGGTTTTGATGAATTATCAGGGAGGTTTTCTTTGTTTTCAATTGAACGAAGACCTTCTCTTGGAGGTTTACGTATATTCATGAATCGGTTAATAATTAAATATAAATTGGGAGTACATTATAAAAATAATAGTTATACAAGTATTATATATATAACATCTAATTTTGGAAAATAAAAAACATTAAATAGAGAGCATATGATGATAATTATATTAATAATGCGTCAGTGATTAAATAATAAGAAGAAGTATTTATAGTGAGAGAGTCATTAAATATGATAAGAATTCAATAATTGGGATAGCAATTTAATGCAACCAAGTCAACATTGACAATATAAGATTCAAGATCAGGAAAGAAATATGAAATTCCAATTTCTAATAATTTTATTAAAGCAAGTGATCTTGAGAAGATAAAAGATGAAAAAGGTTCAATTATTCGTTCTTATGATCCTGGTTATATGAACACAGTTAATTGCGTACATTTTGCATTCATAAAAGACATCCAAAATTAGTTTCATTGATGGAGACAATGGTATACTAGAATATCGAGGTTATCCCATTGAACAATTAGCTGAAAAAAGTACTTATTTAGAAGTAGCCTTTTTACTTATCTATGGTGAATTGCCAACTCAATTGCAATATGATAAATGGTGTAAAAAGTATGCAATTATTTATTATTTAATTTCAGAATCTAAACTCATACATTTGTCCATTAAGATCTTTATGGACTCTTGTCTCAATTTAGATATGATGCACATCCTATGGGAATGGTTATTAGTTCACTTTCAGCTGTTAGTACTCTACATCCAGAAGCCAATCCAGCTTTATCAGGACAAAATATATATGCAGTATTATTTAATCTTAAAATAGGATTAAAAATCTAAAAACAAATAAATTCATAGAATGATTGGATCTATTACAACTATAACAGCACTTGCATATAGAAATAGAATAGGAAGACAACCTAATCAACCTCATTAATAATTAGGATATGTTGATAATTTCTTATATATGATGGATAGACTTAATGAATCTAATTATACTCCACATCCAACTATTACAAAAGTTTTAGACATTTTATTCATTTTACATGCTGAACATGAATTGAATTGTTCAACTTCTGCAGTTAGACATCTTACATCAAGTGGTGTAGATATCTATACAGCTATTGCTGGAGCTGCTGCTGCACTTTATGGTCCTAAACATGGTGGTGCCAATGAAGCAGTTTTAAGAATGCTTGAAAAAATTGGATCTAAATAAAATATTCCTTAATTTATTGAAAATGTAAAAAATAAGAAAGCTCTACTCTTTGGATTTGGACATAGAGTTTATAAATCATATGATCCAAGAGCAAAAATTGTTAAATAATTAGCTTACTAAGTTTTTGATTTGGTTGGTAAAGATCCTTTAATTGAAATTGCATTAGAATTAGAAAACATTGCCTTAAATGATAAGTATTTTAAAGATAGATCACTCTATCCTAATGTTGATTTTTATACTGGAATAATTTATAAAGTAATTCATACATTTATATTTTATAGGCTCTTGGATTTCCAACTGATATGTTTCCATTATTATTTGCTATCCCAAGAATTTCTGGATGGTTAGCTCATTGGTGTGAATTTCTTGATGATCCTGAAAATAAAATAGTTAGACCAAGATAAAATTATTAAGGATACAAAACTAGAGAATATGTTCCTATTGATTAAAGGAAATAAACAGATGCTTATATTCATGCTTCATCAACATCATTCTCAACAAGAAGAAATGTTTCTGTTAAAAAATGAATATAAAATTAAATTATTATTCATAGAATTTATATAAAATTAAATTTAATTAAATATATTACTAATTTACACTTAAGTTTGCATAAACATATCTTTTCCTTAATCTTATAAAATATCATAATTAAAGTTTATAAGCAATAAATATGATACAATATTTGTAATATTTGAATCTCTACTGATTCTATTACTATTTTCTCTATAATTAATAAAGATATATATATATATTTGTTATACATTTGATTAATGATTTAATACTATATTATATTAATTCATTCTAATTTCATGTTGAATAATTCTATTAGTTCCTCTTTTTAATTGTAAAGTAATTATTGTAAATTTAAACTAAATTCTTCAATTTATAAATATAATTCTTAATAAGCAACAATTGTTTATGCAAAAGTTAAATTGAAAATTATAGAATTAAATTTTTAGCCACATTCATAAGTCATTTTATTTACATTTTGAATATTCTTTTTCTATTTTCGAAATACACTTTCAATTTTAGTAATGTTTTTACAATTAATCAAAATATTTATATTAATTTATAAGATTGATTTATCTAGCATAATTTTATATTTTCCAGATTACATAATAATTTAATTTTAGAATTCTAAATTTACAATTATTAAAGTGTTATTTATTGAATTAGGATCATCTTTCTAAGTAATTATTACTGATTTCAATCGAATTGGAGTAAAAATAGTTATATATTACTTCTTTACAAAAAATTCTAGACTGGCACATGGTGAAAAAACTGCAGGGACTACAAATATTCATTTTAATTTTTACCATAATGAAAAATGGAATAATCAAATGTTTAATCAGAATAAGTTTAAGTTGTTTCTTTTACTAGATGAAATTTATTGACAGGAGTATATTGAAATCCGTAATATGTAGATAAAAATTGATAAGAATTTCCCTCAATTAAATTTAGATTAGAGATATGATAAGCAGTAGGTCCAATAGGATATTACATTTTTTAATATGGAAAAGCTTCATCAATACCTACTAATATCTAATAGCCAACCTAAATTAAATTAGTAAAGTCTTTGGTTATTTCAACAGTAATGCTATTTTCTGTGATTTCTGCTATCTATTTATGATTATAAGATTTACAGAGATTTCAAAATTTACAGGTGCTTTACATCCGAAGCTAAGAAGATAGAACAGCATTTTATGCATTAATATTTTTAATTGGAAAAGTATTTTTTATTGGTGGTATCATATTAAAGCTATTTATTATTTGAATTCTTTAATCATCGAAAGCTACATAAAAATAAACAATTTTAGTTATTGTTCCAAAAATTTTGTGAATTTGAAGAGTAAAACCTAATATTACAAATTATAGATAACCTTAAGTAGTTATGCTTTTTAAATCACAATAGAATTAAATTCCTCCTTAATCAAATTATAGTATTTGTATAGCTAAGAATATTTAAGGTGGATTTTGAAAAATCCCATTAAATTAAACAGCACAAAATAAGGATGGGTTTTATTGTGATACTATACTTATAACTCCAGAATCATATAGTAATTATGAGAATGTTATGATAGGAATTAAATAACTCAAATAAATATAAATCATATTAATTAATAATACTAACATGAAAATTAAATTTTTGAAAAATAAAAGTAATTGCATATTATATATTTTATAATTGAAACAACTTAATTAATTAATCATAACGAGAATCTCAACACAATAGTCCTTAGATAATAATGGGTTTGAAATAGATAGTTTTAATTTAATCGATTTTAGGTGAGGGTTTAGTTTAAATAGATAATTATTCTAATTAATGATTCATAGAATCAGATTTATATGGTCTAAATGCTGATTTATTAGGTACTTGGATATATGATTTAATAATTACATAAATTTGCATAGAAGGCAGTTGGTTATTCTTCTTTTTCAGAATCATCATAAATTTGAGTCATCTTGCGTGATAATTTTTGTGTTTATTTTATTAATTTAATATGCTTAAATGAATTTTGATTTATATTGGAATGAGTTTATAATTAAATTAAGTTCGACTAATTGTAAATTTAAATTTATACATTTTTGAGCACTTCTTTTTTGATTGTATAAACTAGTTACTTTAATTATTTAAGTACTAGATTTGTTGGAGCAAAGGGATAATTTCTAAGAATAGAAGGTTTTCTCATTATTAGAAATTAATATGTAGTGTAAATAATCTTTGCTCCATTCTATTCTTACATAACTTATTAAGGTGTGATTCTCTTAAGGAGAGATTTTAACTAAAAGTTTAATAAGAGTATATACCTCTTCAATCAATTAGTCTTCATTCTTTTGCATAATTAATTATGAGAGTATTCGTTAGAATTCAATATTATAAGTGACTTGATGTGTTTTTGTAACAGATTTAATTGCCTTGATTTATTGCTCATTCAAGTAGAGTCTTAAAATTAATGAAAGTAATATACTTCTCATTATTTGATGTTTGAACTACATATTAAATAGGTGTTTTATTTGTGAAAATGGTAATGATCTAAGATATAGACTTGATGTATTTACAACTCCATTTTCCCATAATGATTAGGTTTAACATAATTGAAATTATATCGACTCATTTATTTCGAACTGTGGTTCCATTAGATTTTGAATTTGAATAGTAAAATAATTAATATTTTAATAACGATTTTTATAAATATTTTAGTTTGTATGAATTTACCAACTTCAATTTTTCATTTCAGTTAAGAAAACAATTCTTAATTAATTGAAATTCTTTAATGTTTGTAATAAACACATTACATAATTGATTTGAATGTAATAGAATTAAATGTAATATATATAGATGATTCTAACATCTCCTTTGCATTAAACAATAAGTAATCTAACTATTATTTTAGATTAAGTATTACCTACAAGATTGGAAAAGTATTTTATACAATTTAATCTAGCTATATGATAATAAACATTTAACAAGATTAAAATATTACAAATTACATATCAAATTTGTCACTCAATGAATTCTTTAATCAAATTCAATATGATTAAATACTCCAATTTGCAAACCCTCTTGGTAATGATATGTAAATAGTTTAAGCTTAGTGATCCAAAAAAAAGAACAAAAATAATACTAAACTATAAACACACAATCTGATAGATAAATTGGTTTTTAATAAGTAATAATTATTTAATAATTAAAGATAAAAACAAATGGATTTTTAACAAATTAGATTTTCAATAGCAAGATCAATAAAACTAGATCAATTAGTCCATAACCTATTAGTACAATTAGTAATAAGACTCAATCTAATACATAATCTCAAATCCCTATTATACCAATACAATCCTAAATTATAACAGATTAATTTATGAACTTAAATCCAAATTTATCAAATTTTAGTAATAATAGTATAATTAATGATAAACCATAAACCCATTAATAGAAGTATTAATTAAATAAATGGACTGATGAATCTAAAGAAAAATTGTTTCAAGATAATTTTATGATAAAAGAGGAAATTACAAATTAAGTTGAATCAAATAAAATAGTAATTAACATAAATGAAGATCCTTAATTTTATTAATAATTGAAAAAAGCATCTCCAAAATTGAAATAAATTAAGGGGTCAGGATTATCACCAGAATCATATCATTAAAATAAATCTTAATCTCCAGAAGTTCTATAAGTAAATCTGAAAAATCATTGTAAAAAATGGGAAATTACTTAAAATAATAAATAATAATCATAAGCTATTAAAAAATTACCTTAATAATTTAAATAATTATAATGTGAAAATAGTAAAAGATCCAATATTAGTAAACCTTTTGAATAAAATAATACTAAATTTGCTGTTATTTAATCTAGTAGAACTGCCTAATAGAAAAATACTAGATTACTCAAATAATTAGCATTCCAAGATTCTAAGAATGAAAATCAAATGAATATTATATAAAGTGAAAAAAAACTCACTCCTAGAATAAATGAAAAGGATTATAAAGATTCTTAAATAATGTTTAGTGAATAATAATAATAATACTCTAAAAGTAGAAGTCAAAATAAAAAATAAGATGAATAATATAATAATTATATTCATCATCATAGTTAGAATATTAAAGATTAGATTATTATTAAACCTTAATATGCATGGATTAAATAAGAAATACCTCAACAAATAATCTCATAAAAATTAATAGAATCAAAGTATATTAGAGGAATTTCACCTTAAAATAAACCCATTCCACAATAATTTACTTTCATTCAATAACCTCCAATACCACCATTATAGGAACCAATATAAATAAAAATAGACATCAAATAGTTCATGAATATTAATTAAACAAAAGATTAATAGCGATCTATCAGTCCAATATATAATTAAAGATAAAATATAGGTAATATATAAATTAAATTAGAAGTGAATAATGAAATGGGAGATCTTATTTTGTAAATTTGAATTTTTAGAAATGAATGATTAATTAATTATAAATGAATTCACAAATAATTTTACTTCTTTTACTTATATATGAGATAGGAAAGAGTTATTTTTTATTAAATTATGTTGTTCTCCATATTTGAAATTTTATGCGTATAAAATTACACTATTTATTAATTATATATAATAAAGATGTTTCCCAAATAAATTCAATATACTCAATCTCAAAAGACGAGTGATTATAGCTTATCTAGTTAACAATTTAACTAGAGACCTTTTCGATATGAAAATCAATAATCAGTTAAAGCGTCTTGGTAAAAACTTAAACCAAATGAAACTGACAATGATCCAATAACAAAACGTGATAGAACAGTTAAATCAATAGTAATCAATAATTAGTATATTAGACTGTCTTATAAGAAATATTTAGCTGCACTAATTAAAAAAAACTGATAAAATTAGTTAGTTCATTTCTATAATCAGAACACTAATTAACATAAATTACTGAGTAATTGGACAAATAGCAAATAGTTTCACTCTTCTTTAAAATTCATCAGATGCAAAGTCCATAACTTGTGTAGTTTTTACATTTACTTTATGATTCTCTATTTTCATTAGATTCATCAGTTAGTTCTAAGATTTACACTAATCAAGATGTTCTTAAATATATGATTCTATTAAATTATGAATAAATTTAAGGACAAGCAGGATAATTGACTAGAATACTTGAAATTTTATCAGAAATGCAGAATCTGAATCCTGATTTTTAAGTATTTGAAGAAGAGTTTTAAATTGATATGGAAGAAGTAAAATATTAATTATTATATAGATTTCAAATTCATTTAATAGAGTATAATTACGAATTCTATTTTTGGTAAGTTCCATCGATATATTAAGAGCTTTGAAAGGTTCAGTAGGTTTATTTGAAAGATTAGAATAATTTGTGTTTTCATAAATCAAGAATAGTTAAATACCAAATATTAGTGATATGTAAACTCTTATTTATGCTTATATACTCTTAAGTGAATAATTAGATATTGCTAATAAACTTGGTTATTCAAAATAAGCTGTAGAGATTATAGGTAAGTCTTCTGATTATTCAATATATGAATTAAAAAGAAGATTTATGAATAATGCATTAAGATTATCATAAAAATATTTAGGTTCTTAAGTTTATGATTAAATATCTAGTATGAATAGATCATTCAGTCCTGGATTCAATAAATAATAAATAAATCATTTTAATTAATCAGAAAATGTATCCTATTAATTTTTAGTTAATCAATTAAAAATGGATTACACTCTAAATAATGATGAAAATTTTTAAATTGATTTTAAATGCAACAATTTATTAACAAATCCTATTATTTATTAATTAATGGATAAGTAATTTAATAATCAATATTTTTAGATTATTGCCATAATAAATAGCAAAAAAAGAGAAAGTAAATTCAATATTTACTGAATAAAGTAGAGTGGAAAAAAACAATTAACCAATTATTGTTAAAAAACAATTTTCAATTAAATAATTGAAATAAGAGAATATGGTTTAATCTTAAACATAAAATTAAGTATCTACTCCTACACAAAAGAATTCATAATAGGTAATAATCTTCAATTAATTAAGATGTCTTAAACTTAAGGATTTTAATCTTCATAATTTAAATAATAAGCCAACATAATTGTAAAACCAGGTTTAGATTCTAATGAATTTGAAATTCTATAAAATAAATTAGGTCGTTAATAATAAGAATTGGAAGAATTAAAATAATTATATAATAATAATATGGTTCAAAAAAAGAATGAACTTAATTAAACTAATTAATAAAATTAATAAAATGATTAATTAAAGAAAAAAATTGAACTCTTAGAGACAAATTTAGTATAATTAAAGAATGAAAATACTACTTATAAAAAGGAAAAAGATTAAAAATAAAGTGAAGTTATTGAATTAAGATCTTTTATTCAAGATTTATAAGATAAATAATTAAAACTAGAGAAATTAGTTTAATAATAATAATAATAATATTAATAATAATAATAATAATTTTAATTATAATTATAATAACAATAATAATAAGCATCTCCATAATAATTACCAAATCTAAATCCTGCTTAATAATATTTAAAAAAATAACAAAGCAGTTAATCAACTAAAACAAATACTCAATTATAAATGAATATCTAAATTCCTACAAATAATCTTGATGATAAAAATAGATTATTTGTTAGAGCTTAAAGTTAAATGAGTCATTCTCCTGGAGAAGAATTTAAAAATGAAATGGATGATACAAGTCCTAGAATTATTAAATAAAATTAAGCATATTTGCTTTAATTATTGGATATGTTAGATTTAAATACATCTTTTACTAAAACTTATACTAAATTACATTCAAATAATGAAAATAATTCTTGGGAAAGTGATGTATCAATTGTCCATAATTTCAAACTTGAAGGTTTAATAACTGATTCAAATGATGGTAAAGTGTTAATGCTTAAAGCTTATAATTAATAAAATATATTGTGTACGGAATCAATATCATTTGATCTCTTAAAAAGTCTTCTAGGTTATGTTGATTTTTAAGATACTCTACCAACAAATCTACCAAATATTAGTACAACTCATTAATTCTTTAAATTTTTAATATTACCTTATACTGCAGTTGTATAAGATGAAAATACTTAATAATATAAAATTTAATTGTGGCCTAAACCATATGGATTATTAAATGGATTAAATTTAAAAATAGATTTCTTAGATCTTAATTGTTTAGTATATGTTCATCATTTAGAAACTGATTAATTTAGAATTATTATATTTGATCCTTCAAGTTATGATTGTTTCAAATTAGATTTAGAAATGGATTATTCTTCAATTGATACATTTTTTGTAGATGCTAAATCTATTAAAGATGAATTTAATTATTATTGTAAAAGTAATCTATTGAAATTAACTGAAAAAACTCCTAAATTTGGAGATGATGATGTAGCTGAAGCATTAGTAGAAAGACATTTTTCAAAAGATAAAGTAAAAATAGTTTAAGCAGATATAAAATAAAATTAATCTTATAGATAAGAAAATTTATTATTAAAATAACCAATTGAATTTCTGAAATTTATCAAATCAATAGTATAAGTCTTTGAATAATAACTAAAATTGCAATAAATTACATTTCCTAATAGTTTACTTGGTATGAAATATTTCAGATGTAAAACATGGAATGCTGGTACTAAAAGTTAAATACAAATTGTCAAAGAACAATTAGATCAATAATAAATTTCTATATATTTGGCTAATTGTTTTGAATCTTTTGGTCCAAACAAATCTAAACTTAAAGCTAAAGGAACTACTCATATTAACTTTTCAGCTATTCAAAGGGAATTTGCTGTCTCTTATGATAAATTATAAATTGAAGAAAGAGCAACTATTCTATAAACCATTTTATATTCATTTAACTTAAATATTTTTGAAAAAGCATGTGAATAGGATGAATAACAATTTGATAAAAACCCTATTGTATAAAATATATATGATTGTGGTTCTTATAGAAGGTAATAATATTTACATATATATATATTAGAGTTATTGCATTTGACAACGGTAAAATTGCATAAGTAACAATTTAAGTTATTGGATCAAATAGAAGAATGTGTGGTATTAAATTCTCTGTTTTTAATATTGATGAAACAATTGAAAATGGAGTATTTTTACCAGTATCATAAAGTGAATGGGATACTAGAGCAATGGAAAAATAAAAAATTAAAGCATCTGTTCAAAATGTTCCATTTGCAGAATATTTATTAACATAAATTCTAAAATGTGAAACAACATAAATTGTAATATAAATATTAATTTATTTTTAGATATTATTTAAAAAGATTTTGAATGCTGATTTCAAATCAAATTAAATTAATAGTAATGAAATTAAGAAAAGAAAGACTTTTATTGAAAGAGTAGACAATCTATTAACCTGGCAAGAAGTCATTGCAAATTTATGAGTATTAGATTAATTAATATCATATCACTAAATATTTTTTATTGTCTTTTAATCTTTACTTTCTATATAATATATAATTTAATTTTAAATTTAATTAATTTTTTTATAACACATAATTAATCACAATAAATCAATGTAATTTTATTATTTTTTAACAACTTTTGAAATTGTACTTCCTTTATTGACAGATTAGAATTATGAAACAATGACAGATTCATTATAGTTTTATGATCTTAGAATTTATGAGTTTTAAATATCTAATTTTAATTGATAGTTTTCCCTTTAATATAATAAATAAATTACGATTCTAATTATTGAATTCTTGAAAGTTTAGCTTATAAAGTTTAACTTGAAGTTAATTAATAGGATCTTCTTAAAGATTCTTCTTATAGATACTTTTTTTAAATTTCTTATATTTATGAATGTAATTTTTAATTTTCTTCATAAACACTAACTTCTTCAAGATTTAATTATTTTTTTAATTTATTTAATTAATCGTATTAGTAATCATATTTTTCTTATAATTCAGTTACTTTTTAAACTCTATTTTCTAAATCTTTAAGAAGTCTATTATTTTATGTTGTTAAATTGAGTAATTCATTATTATTTTTCATAAGTTATAATTAATAATTTTTAATATCTTCATTTAATTTAGATATTTCAGTCTCTTAACTTTGTATTTGTTTTGTATAAACAAGAATTTAACTTTCATAAACTTTATTTAATTGTTTAATCTTATTCTTTTCTTGAAATGCCTTTGTTTTAAGTTCATCTATTTCTTTAAGTAAATCTGTCATATTTTATGTTTATATTTTTTCAAGACAATGTTCATCCAATTATAATTAAGTATTTTAAGTTTTAACTTTTTAAATGTTTTCTAAATGTTTAGATAATTATTATATATTTTCATCTTTTTGTTATAATTATTATTTAAGATAATCAATTTAATTATTCAATTCTTAAATTTCAATATCTTTATTTTATTAAAATTATTGAATTTACTTTTAATAATTTATATTAGATTATTATAATCGATCTGATTCAAGTAATGAATTTTTTAAATTTGTTTAAATTTCTAAATAGTCCATAGATCTGATATCTAAATCAGTAATCAATTATGAATTTTAATCTTTCAATAATTAATTTTCTTTATTCAATTATAATATTTATTCTTCTAATTTGATAATTTTAACTTTATTATCATCCTTTTTTAATTAATTAATAATATAATTTTTTTCTTCAAGTTCTTTAGTCAATTTATTATTTTGTATTTCTAATTCTTTAATTGTCACTTCTTTATTTACTTTTGGTTGTGTTTTAATCATTTTAGCTCTAACTCCAAATCTAAGAGTACTGAGTGTTTCAGATTCATTACTATCACTTGGACTACATGTGATAATCAAAGAAGTCATAGAATTTTTACTTAATCCATTCCATAATAATTTTGTTAAATTAGATTCTCTAAAAGGTACATGTTATTATTTTTCTGATAATCCATTTATTACATTAGACTAGATATATAATAAATAAGAATTACAAGAGTAAGCAGACTCTTATTAATGAATGATCCTTCTTGTAATGTGGTTCCAGTTGTTCCTGCTTTGGATGCATTTTCACTACCTGCAAGATCAGCCATAATTAATTATCCTGTATATGAAGTTCCTTCAATTTCATTATTCATAATAACAGTCTAATAGAATTTTTAATAAATTTACCATTTAAAATAAAAGATGAGATCTTGAAGACATATCATTAAGATTAGTATAACCAACTTATCTATTGACCAAACTTTTTTATAATGCATTATAGATTTCATCTTTATCACTAACCCATAATTATGATACTTGTTGAATATAAAATCCTTAGTTAGCCATTTCTCTTACTTTTAAATCTTATTTATTAACATCTAATAGATCTTTAACTTTTTCTTTATAGATTTCAACAATTGAAATTTTAATTCTAAATTCAGATTCTGTTGGAGAGCTCTCTATTGCATCAAACAAATCATTGATAGTTCTTCTAATGATACCTGGTTATTATTAATCACCAATCATAGTGTAAGTTTTACCAGATGATGTTTATCCATACATTAATAATGTGGCATTAAATCCTTATAAAATTTAATCTATAATAGGTTTTCCTATTTCATCATACACTTATTATTAGTTTGTATTACTATCAAGGATCTTATCAAAAGTAAACTTTTATTCACCTAATTGTATAGTTTAATCTCTAATGCTATAATTAATTAGTGATGTTTCTTTTTAATGTAAAGGTCGGATTCTGCAAAATACTTTAATATTGCTCATGGTTTAGATTAGTATTAAATCTGATAAATTATTATTATAATAATATTAAATTAAAATAAATCATTACCATCTAAAATATTCATGTAAAATCTTATTAGTAGTTTCATCATTCTCCTAATGATATGGATATTTGAGTTTTATAAGATTATCTAATTATTACTATTTATTAAATTAAGTCTTTGATTTTGACTATTCACTTTCTAAAGTCTTTTGATTAATAGATATCTTTTAATCTGAACCAATCAAATTTTAAGAAACCTCTTGGATTCTCGATAATTTAGAATGCATTTAAACTTTATTAGTTGCCTATTCAGTTTCAAATTTTGTTTAAATTGTTTTTAAAGGAGTCTAATTGCAATTCTAAGTTAAAGCTTTGGTGGAAGTAGTTAATGAATTACGAAATACTTTTGATTTTAATTCAGGTCTAAGATTCTTAAATTCCAGAGATTTAAAGCTTTTGGAAATACAATAATATAATACTTATTACTATGTTAATATGGTATTAAATGATCGATACTTTTGGTTTCAATTAAAGCAGATTTGTAATATTTGAGTTTTGCATTTTAAGAGTATTCATCAAAATTAGGTTATTCATTAATTAATTAATCAGCTTTAAAGGTTCTTAAAGATCTTGATATATGAAGAGTAGTTCCAATTTGATCTTCTTTTATAGTAGTAATATATTCAGTTCTCTTATGCTATATGATTTAAATGAATAAATACTTCTTATTCTTTCAATCTCTTTCTTGTTGGATCTCCCAATACTTCAAATCCTTCAACAAATACTTTACTTTAATTTTAGTAATCTAATGGAAATTGATCCCAGGATGCTGGATCATACCTCTTCTTATTATATATATTAAAGGTATCTTTATCCATCCATTTAGATTTATCATATTACTTCCATGTAGGATTAGTCAACATCATTAAGTCTTTTTTCTGTATAAGATATATATTACCAAATAATCAATTTTCTAACTATTATTATCCACAACTCGTTTTATTCTTTCAGTCTCAATTCTATCTCCCTTGCCAAATCTCATAGGATTCCCTTAATTAGATTGATCTTCCACTTTTAGCCATTTATAATGATTCTTATGTGGTTCATTATTATTAAATTCTCCAGTTTCTAAATGTCCTTATTTAAAATCTAACATTGTTTATCTAGCTCTGTCCTTTCCTAATTATTAACTCTTATATTATATCTATAAATACCTCTTTAATATTATATTGCCATCTAATTCTTTTTCTTTATAACGATCTCGAAATGAATGTTTAGTAATAGGCAATATTGGATAACTACCTTCTTTTAATATTTCTCTTAATTTATTTAGTTTATTTTCTTCAAACATTTCTACTCTATTAGTTTATCTTGCTTTAAATTAACCTGACTTAATTTTTCTTATTTCTTCTTATTTACTCTCTCTTTATTATCTATGAATTAGTTTTGAACTTATACTTATGAAATTATTAATCTTTTAATCTTTCAATTTACTTTTACTTAAAAATGTTATTCAAAGACATATTTATTTAATATTTAATTATTAATATTTCTTATAATGTCTGACGATAAATTAGCATTTCAATTAGATGTCATTGAATACGATTGGTTAATACTAGGCACTGGATATGAAGAAACCCTTTACAGTGCTCACCTCAGTAAAGTATCAAAATAATAAGTAATCCTATAATATTAACACTAAAGAATCTGGTCCTTGATTTAGGTAATACCTATTCAAGCAACATAAGAACAATGAATTTTAAAGAATTCCATAAATTAGATTCAGAATTACCAACAGAAGAACAATATCCATATCTTCATAAGAGACCAGTCTTTAAAATACTTGAAGTAGATGAAAAGCAAGATAAAATCAATAATTATTTTGCTAATAAAATCAATTTAGGATAAGAATTCAAACATTTTAATATCGATATGCAACCAAAATTGCTATTTAGTAATAGTCCTGCTGTTTCTATAATGTAATAAGCAGATTTAGATTAATATATGGATTTTAAGGCTGTTGAATCTCAATTCTTTTTTGACTAAACTACAAAGACATTTAAATTAACACCAACCTCTAAAAGTGATATTTTTAAATGTTAATTCTTAAGCTTAAGTGAAAAAAAATAATTTTTTCAAGTAATCTAATTAATTATTATATAGCTTTTACATACTTTAGTGAAAATATTTCATAAAGTAATCAATTATTAAGTTGATCAAAATTCAACATAAGAATTTGATCAAAATACTACTCAATTAGATGAAGATACATATTAAAAGTATTTAGAATTCAAGGATCAATAAGCAATAATTTTTTTGAATGAAATTACATCCAAATCACTCAACAAAGATAAAATTTATTCTATATTATTTTATTCAATTTGTTTCATTACATAGAGTTTTCATAATTAACATAACCTTATTACAACCCAAGAATTTATAACTAAGTTTGGTAAATGCATTAAATCAATGGGTATTCATAGTAAATCCCCTTTTTTATACACTAATTATGGAACTGGAGATATTCCATAAGGATTTTGTAGAATATCAGCTGTCCATGGATCAGTCTTTATCACTTAAAGTTAAATAAGAATATATAAAATAGAAAAAGAAGAGAATCAATATTTAATATCATCTAATTTATCAGAAAATAAATTAAAAATCAAATAAGGGATAATTATGAATAAATAAATTTATGATTCTTATGTTTAATTAAATGAAATTAAAACTGATTAGAATACAAAATAACAATAAAATTATGTATTAATGAGATTGACTTTGGTTACAACTAAAGATTAAAATGTATTATGTGAAGAAGTGAGATCGTTAATACTTGATTAATTAATTGAGGATCAAAATACTCAACATTAATTAGATCCAAGCATTTATGTAATCCCATGTAAATAATTCAGCAGCAATCCTATTTATATATTTAGAACAGATAGCAATAGCAATAGTGCTTATAAAGATTATGAATTATTTTATGTTTGGACATTGCTCGATAAGTAAGAAGGAAAGGAGTTAAAGGAGACATTGAAATAAATTATAATAGATATTGATTCTAAATATAATGAAGGTGAATAGAAGAGCATTAACTATATTTGTTATGAGAAAGTGTTATTATAAGAAATGACTAAAAATGAATATAAGTTTTAACCAAATGCTGATGAAAATATGTAAAGATTTTAATTATTTTTAGTTTTGTGACTACTGAAGATAATGATGATTTAGATTTAGATGCCTAAACTAAAGCATTTATGGGGAATGTATAGAAAGTGAATAAAAATTTTGAAGAAAACTATTATATGATTGAAAAGGTAGCTAAATAATAATAAACAATGGAGTAAGAAATGGATAATTAGTAGTACATATTGAATTAATTAATGAATATAAAACAAAAAGAATGATTATATTTTATTATTATTTAATCTCCAATGAGGACATCAGCATTCTCCTTCATTGGAGTTCGCAAACATTTTTGGAAGGAAGTTATTTATAATATCTAATTAAACTAAGAATCTATAGAGATGACTGAAATTGTAAGAATAATTTTATATTTAGAAATCTAAATCACCAAAGTACATTCTGCCATTAAAATTGTCAACTGTTATTGAAATTACTGGATAAGTAAGTAAAAATAATAGGAATTTCAGTGGATTCTTGTTTAAATACAAAGACTCAACTAAATTAATGAATTGTAGATCTTAGGATATAGCTATGTAAGTATACTTATTTTAATTAGTTTTATGGATATGGTAAGTAACTAAATAACTTTTCTAAATATCACTATGTTCTATTAGGCAATCGAAATAATAGGAAGAGGCAGTTCATCAAGTGTTTCTGTTTTGATCGATATATATTCATAAGAACAATTTGCTGTCAAAAGTATAGATAAAGAATACCTGTAGAAGAATGATAAGTTATAGGTAATTATATATATTATATATATAGATATTATTTGAAAATGAAGTGAAGATCTTATAAGAATTGACCAAATATAATCATCAAAATTATTTTGTGCATTTATACAGAGTATTTGAGAGCAAAACATCTTACTATTTAATCTTGAATCTTATGAAAGGTAAATCACTTACTGCCTACTACAATAAAATCAAAGTAAGCGATTATGTTAATTTATTTGAAATTAGAAATAATCAGATACCAAGTTATTCTCTCCAGATATTACTAAATCAATTATGAAGAGACTCCTTTCTGGTGTTTCACTTTTGCATTGTCATAGAGTATAAAATTAATCTAATTTAGATAATCCATAGGGATCTTAAGCCTGACAATTTATTACTTCTAGAACCAAATAATGTTGACACTTTAGCCATTGCTGATTTTGGATTAGCAACTTATAGTAATGTAGAAAAGTTGTAATTTTTACTATCCAATAGGTATTCATATCCAATATGTGGAACTAAAGGATATATGGCACCAGAAATTACTCATTATAAAGATGGATAAATTAAATATGATGAATAAATTGACATCTACAGTATTGGTGTCATTTTTGTTTGGCTGTATTTTTATTATAATCCTAGACTCACTGGAGATATAGATAAACATAATCCTAAATTATAAAAGTTGGATTCCATTACTTAAAATTTATTAAATAACCTTTTAAGAACAAATCCAAAAGAAAGATTGTCAGCATAAGCAACACTTGATCATCCATATTTCTAAACTGATGAAACAACTAAGAAGACTTTTCAATCCTAATATGGATTTGTAACTCCAATTTTTATATTCTAGGAAAATGTAGATTGTGACTCTATTGTACAACATGAGGATTTGAAAAATTATTCATTGCCTTTAATGAAGAAACCTTAAAGATAAATTTGATATACACTTCTCTATCTAACTATGTCAATCTCTATATTTTAATTATAATTTATTATTTACTCAATATTGATACATTTATAGTGAACATTATAATTTTATTATTAATGCTAAAAAAATATCTCTCTACATGTTCATCTAATCAATAAATTTAGTCAAAATCTGCAATAACCAATATAAGTATAGACATCTCTTTAAAATTTAGATCTATCTTAAAGAACTATTAATTATGGTACTCCTAAAATTTAACTAAATCTAGGATCAATTTAAAATAGTATTTTAGATAAGTAATACCCTTCATCATAACATATCAAATCAAATAAGTTATCAGAACACAATTTGCACAGTAATTACGTAAAATCATCTTAGAACAAGATAATTCTCCATCTATTAGAGATTCTAGTTAATAAGGCTTGGATCTATTATTAACTTAAAGAGATGAAACCCTTAAATTTAGATCGACTTCGTAAAACGAAAAAAAACTATAATTGAAGCGATATAGTGGTAAATAATAATGTATATCCAATGAAAAGATCAGAGTCTTTGATGTTTTCAATCAAAGTATTAGGTTAAATAAATAATCCAGTACTTCAAAAACTTACATAACCACTAAAGAAACCTTGAAAGTTCAACTGTAATAGCAGAAAAACAATCAACAAATTTAGTTCAAAATTTTACCAAATAATATAAATAATCAATAAAAGAATGATGAAATACAAAGACAATCCAATAAACAACCAATATCCAGTAAATTAAATGAATCAAGAGATATTCTCTAATATATGAGATAGAATTAAACAAATAATAATAAAACTACATTATCAAAGGATGCATAAGGCATTTAAAATAAGAAAAATTTCTTTCATTCTCCATAAAAGAGTGAAAATATAGTTTTTAGTTCTTCGGGTAGATAAAATATTAAAATAGATCTTGAAAATACCAAAAACGAAAATATTCTTGAATTACTGTTACTTTCAACTTAAGAACTTAATAAGAAATTGAAAAATAAAGAAATTGTTAGAAATTAATCAGAAGAGAAAATACCAGTAAAAATAAGACTTAGAGCAGGTAGTAAATTTCCAAAAGACTTCTTTGAATGAATCATAACTATGTAAATTATCAATCACAATTCAACCTTTTTTTCATCACATCCTTAATTTTGTCAACCCATAATTAAGCTGGATGCTCACATTCCTTACTTATATAATTTATCTTACTTTAAAATAGTACTTCTTTTTACTAGGAACATCAATATTAAATTATCCTTTCAATAATTCTATTGTTACAGATTTGTCTAAAATAATCTAACCCTTTTTTAAAGCTATAAAAGATTCTTTATACCTTTTTTAATCCAGTATTAGGATCGAAATATTCTAATTTTGGAATTTCGAAATCGTACAATATCATATTTCTTAATTTATATATCATCCAACCTAAATTTATTCATAATAATCAACCTGTTTTCTTATTAACTAAACCAGTTATTACTACTTCTGGTTTCAAAGTGGCGCTCTACTTTTTTTGAGTGAATTCCTAAGTTGTTATCTTTTTTAAATGTATTTAAACATCTTCAGGTCCTTTTTGATTCCATAACTACTACCAATTAATATCTTTAAAAAATGGATGGCTCTTTAGTTCTCGATATGTGTTTTTAGAATCTAAAATAATGAAATCAACTTACTGGGTAATCCTCCTCCTAATCTGCTTAATGGATCTCTGACAAGCAATTTACTTATTAAATCCATTCCATCTTAAGGAATTTTATTACTTTTAGGATACTGACAAGATCTGACTTTCTAAAATACTAAATATTCTGTTTAATCACAAAAAGGAGTTGTTCCAGTGAACATTTTATAAATTATACATCCTAAAGCCCATAAATCTGCTTATGGACCACAAATATCATCCTCCAAAAGTTCAGGTGATACATATTCTGCAGTTCCTACAAATGTAGCTTTATGTTTCTATTGATATTGGTCGATTTCATCTAAAAATCTCTCATCTTATTTGCTAATCTCTCTTAATTCATTCAATTTATCCCTTACATTATCTGGTAAATTATGTTCATCAAAGAAGCTAGCTGTTCCAAAATCTATCATTTTTATATGTAAATTATTTGCCACCATTATGTTTTCTGGCTTTAACATCATCTAAAATTTATTACTTTCACATCTCTATGCGCAATCCCATTAGAATGTAATTATTCTAATATTGTTACTATTTCTGCAGTGTAAAATACTATAGAGTTATAAGACATGTTTCCTAAAATCACTATTTGCCATTACTATTTATTTTTAGGAAATTAGCAAAATCTCCTCCTTCCATAAACTCTAACACTAAATAAATTTATGCTGAACTTTGGAAACTAGCAATCATATTTATCAAACCAGGATGCTGAACCCTTGACAAAACCTCTTTCTCAATAAACACTTGATATTGTTTTTTTTCCTAGTCAATTATTACATTATGAACCTTAATCAGCAATCTTTTCTCCATCGCTTTTATTGCTACTAATTATCCATTTGCTTTGCATTTTGCTAACATCACATCTCCATAAGAACCAGATCCTATTTTCTCTATAATTTCATAATCATTTAGAGTATTCATTTTTGTATAAATAAAATTAATTAACAAAAAATCATTACTAATCGTGCAAATGAATAATTGTGATAAATAGTTATTTGTTCTCTAAAGATTGTGATTTATTTCAATCATTTAATTTTAACCTATTTGTACCAATAAATTAAATTTTTAATATTATGCATAATTTTGTATAAATAATTATAAATATCATAAATTTTTTATTATAAAAGAAATCTTAAAAATCTTTTAACGAAAATATATATATTTGTAATATATTTAGATGATATTATATATAT